ACCTTCAGCAACTGTCGGTTGTGCTCAGGGGACACTAAGCCCTCCAGGCAAGAACCTACCACTGCCCCCGCTGCTTCCCACTGCCTTTGCTCTTCCCATCCAGGATAGGCCTCACCTTGGCATTGCCACTAGACCTCCTGCTAAGCACAGCGGCCTCCAGGAACCCTCCCCGATTCTACATTGCACCCTAACCTAGTACCAAGGAGTGATGCCTAGTGCCCCAGGACCTTGCTGTCTCCCAGCTCCCAGAGTCAGCGGGACTCGAGTTCCCACATTTCTAACGAGGCCGGCCTAATTGAAACTGGCACTCATGCCCAGGGAAAATCCCCGGTAGGATTTGAGAGCGGCTCAGGAATGGGAGTGGGGACCTGGAGGAGCTCTCGGGGGTCCCCAGTCCTATGAGCTTTACCTTCTAAACATCCCTCAGAAGCACAGGCTTCCTCTCCAGGTCACCTTTTGCTGAGCATCATCACCGTTCAGCTGGGCTCCTGGGGTGACGTCCCCCTAGGTCTCCCTCTATTGTACCTCCCAGAAGAAATCCATACTGCAGCAAAAAGATGGTTATAAAAATGAACACTGTTGACACACTGCCCTGCTAAAGCTCCCTCGTAGTTTTCCATTGCATTTAAGAAAACAGATCAAAACCTTATTCTGGACCAGGCAGACCCACACGGCAGAAGTCCTGCTCCCTTGCAGCTGCACCTACCCAGCCTGGGTCCTGGCCTTCTCTCCACACAGCCAGCCAGCCGTGGGCCTCTAGAGTGCTGTGTCCCCTGCCTTCAGCCGCCCCTCTTCCTCCACCCAGTTAACTCCTCCTTGTTTAGCTCTTGATTCAAACGCCCCACTGCTCTTTCCTTGGGGGAAACCTTTCCCATCAGGTCCCCCATTAGTTTTGCATTTTCTTCTAAAACATTTGCCCGTCTGATCCTGTGGCAGTTGCCAGCCTCGTCGTCCTGCATGGATGCCCCACAGAGGCCAGGACGGGGGTTATTTTGTTCACTTAGTGCTGGGCTTATCTGGAAGTAGGTGTTGCCCAATACTGTTTTTTATTTTTATTTTTTGCAGGGGGCGGGGGAAGTACTAGGGATTGTACTTGGGGGCACTCAGCCACTGAGCCACAATCCCAGCCCTATTTTGTATTTTATTCAGAGACAGGGTCTCCCTGAGTTGCTTAGGGCCTCACTAAATTGCTGAGACTGGCTTTGAACTCGTGATCCTCCTGCCTCAGCCTCCAGAGCCTCTGGGATTACAGGTGTGTGCCACCATGATCAGCCCAACACTGGCTTTTAAATGAAAAGAGAAGTGATAATGTTGAGAGACGAGGCCCAATCGGCACAGCCCCCAAGGAGCCCCTGGGTTCTTCGGGGCTGGTGTGGGGGAAATGGGAACAGTGTGAGTGAGGCAGCCGAGAAGGGGAAAGAGGGATGGCAGTCTCAAAGGCCTGGCCGAGGAGGGCATGCTGGACAGCCTTCAGGCCCTAGGAGGCTGGGGACGAGAAACCTGCAGAGCTCTTGCTCCTCTGGAGGACAGACTTGTCTGCTCCACTGGGCGGGGAGCAAGGCGCCCTAGGATCATATCACAGTTCACTACCAACTTGCTGTGGACCTGGGGCAATACCTATCCCTTCTCTGGGTGCTGTTTTCCCTGCTTTAAAATTAGAGAGATGCTGGCTCAATGCAGCCAGTCTTCCTGGACTGTATCTTTGGTTGCTCCCTGTCTTTCTCTGGCTACCCTGTTTTACCGTTGCCATGTGCCCCCAGCTCTGGCACCCCAGCCCCTTCCCCTCCACCTGATCCTTTTTCTCATGGCACTTACTCCCTGTTCACATGCCATTTACTTGGCTCATATATTATACTCATTTTTTCCTTGATAGAACGTAAGGTCTGTCATTGGCAGGGACCCTTCTTTCTTCACTGAAGAATCCCCCCGACGTGAGAAGTGATCAACAAATATTTGTTAAATGAAGAAGTGCTGTTCTCAGTCTACTGTGGCTTGTTGAAATAAGTAAGGAACCTCATTTTAAAGAACTTGGATTTCGGATTCAGGCAACCTGGCTTTGAATCTTGGTCTGACACCAGTTGTGTGATTGTTGGGGACACCTGCTGCCTTGGAGGCTTAGTTGCCTATGGAAAATGGAGTCATCTTATCTAAGTCTACTGTGATGGTGAAATGACTTTGAGTATTTCAAGTGCCGAGCACAGGGCTTGCTCCACAGGAGGGTCCATACAAGTGAGGGGACCATGGTCCAGGGAAGGAGGGTGCCTGACTGCGAGCATCAAAAGTCATCTGGGATTACTTAAGCAGAAAAGGAATTTTCTGGAAGTATCTCAGGAAGCTCATAAAATTGGTGGGGAAATTTGGAGAAAAGGCTCAGAAGACTCTCAGGAACCAGAGGAGGCCAGGTAGAAGGACTCGTCAGCCAGTATTCTGCAGTCACTGCTGGGATGGTTGTCACCATTAGAGGCAGACCCCCTTATCCTGCCATAAATACTTGTCACAGATGACACTAACAGATGGCCTCTTGACACAGGGGGGAAGCCAGTCTCAGAGGCTTTTTGCTTTGTATTCCTTGCTCCAAGTTCAAAGTCCCAAATCCCTCTATGGATATGTGACTGGCAAAGCCCAAGTTATGTGCCCATGTCCTGACTACCAGTGGGAGGAAAGAGTGTCTTCCCTATGGCCCTCATGGTGGAAGGGAGAGTCCTTGTCCACTGGGAAACTCTCTAGAGCAAGATAGGAATCTAGATGCTATGAAGCCATTAAATGATAAATAGCCTCTTTGGGAGCTAGACCCAGATAGGACTAGTAATGGGTAAGCAAAGAGCTGGTTATAATGGGGCTACCAAGTGCCCGGGTGGAGCTGATGGCAGGTCAGCTTTTGGCGTCCCTGAGAAGAGTTTGAGTAGAGGGACTATTTTCAAAGGTGTGGACAGGGCAGAGGGAAACCTCCAGGGCCAGCACAGTTGCTAGGTCTAGCAGCAGCTGAAGTGCCATGATGTCCCCAGGCCTGAAGGAGTAAGTGTTGGGCACAGTGGTCTGAAACCCAGAGAGAGACAGAAAGAGGGGTCTGAGGACAGTCAATTGGCTGTCACTGTGAGCCCTTATGGGGAAAGTCGTCAGCCCACAGACATGCTAGAGATGGAGGTGGAAAATAAGTACCCAGAGTCTCCCCCAACCCAGTCTCTCCCCTCCAATGTCTTGCTGGTGCCTCCTACATTTTACCCAACTAGAAGTTGGAGGGCCATTAATATAATTTGTATCAGTGGCTTTGAAGGGAGAGAGCAGGGAGAAGGGAGGAAAGCAGGTGGTGGAGGCGCAGAGGACAGCCTGAACAAGTTGGAAATGAACTCTTAGTGGAGACTCCTGACTGCTTAGTGGGGGTGGCATCGGGCCTGGACCTTGAGGGCAGAGTTGAATTTCAAGAGACTTTTTGAGTTGGAGGCAGTTTCCTGAAAGAGCCTCAGAGTCAGACACTAAACGAGTGTTAAGCAATGGTGGGCTTTGAATGCTGGGACCTCACACGCGTGTGCCTGCCTGGTCCCCATTTGGGGCATCTACAACCTTCCTGAGGCCACAGTTAAGGACTCCTGCTTGAGGTGGCTTCTTTGCCAATTAGAATTGATTCTTGCGTGGCTTCTGGGGAATGCCTTAGCAGCCCGGGTATGTCCACGGTTCTGGAGATGGGGAAGGATTTGGGCTTCGATACTCCCAAGTCAGCAGCCCCTGGAGAGTTAAGCCTCCCTCTTGGGGCCTGTGCGAGGGAGCCCGTGTGTTTGGGTTTGTGCAGCCAGAAGAGCGTTGCTATGGCTGAGTCGCAGGCAACAGGTCTTGTGATCTGGAACAGCAAATTGTGTATATAACATGACGGCATTTATTAAAGCAAGATAAACTCAGCGGCGGAGGATCTGGCTGGAGCTATAAATTCCTCTGATCTCCACTTCTGAGACATCACATTCCATTTGAATGAGGCCTATCAGCCCAAATGCTTTCATGAAATAAGTCAATTTGCTGAAAATCTCAGAAACTGAACTGCAACTTCCTCCTCCTTTGTTTTAAAAACGCTGTGCAGCGTGGCTGTAACTCACACGACACTGCTCAATGTGAATGACCCACGGGGCTGTCATGGGCCTGCATTGTCCAGGCCGAGGTTGGACACCCTGGGCTCTTCCTCTTAGGGGGCTTAGGTGCAGAAGAGAAGGTGATATTTCAAACAGACATTCTTTCTAGATCCAGGAATTCAGAGATATAGGAGCCAAATGAAGGAGCTAATCAAAATCCCCCCTTGCTTCAACTTGAGACTTACCCCTTGGCAGGCAATGGCCCACAGTGGGAGGGATTTTCACAAGTGGCCTGGGGGACAGCAGGGACACTGGAGCCCAGAAGGCCTGGGTTTAAATCCCAGCTCCATTATGACCTGGGCAAATAGCTACAGCCTAGTCATTGTATCTCTCTATCCGTAGCCTATCCCATATAAAGTGACAATCAAGATTGCCAACCCTTATTAGCACTTAATATACATCAAGCACCATGCTGACAGCCTCCTGTGGATGACATAATGTATCCCTCACAGAAATTCTATGAAATAAGAAGCAGGAGTATCTGAACTTTACGGAAGAGGAAAGTGAGGCTGAGAGAGGTTAGGGACCCTGGGAACCATGGAGCTGAGGCAGTTGGGGACTTTTACCCTTGTATAAGAACAATTCTCACTGCATGGACTTCTTAGAATTCCTAGGTTGCATTAGGAAGTGGGTGGAAGAGCATTTTTTAAATCATAAACTATTAGTGGTGGAAATGCTGAGCAAGATACTGAATCTTCAGTCATTATTTTTCCCAACTTGTCCAAGAGCTTTCCTCCCTCTCATCCACGGGTTTGCTTTTTCTCTTCCCTCCCACTTAACCACCACCTCTGTACCTATCCTTTCCAACATTCCTCCCTTGGTTCAAAAACAACAACGTTGTGGAATTCAGATTCAAGGAGAAAAAAAGCAAAGTCACAGCCCAACTCAAAAGTACTTGTGCTTTTATTAAAAAAAAAATACAATCAGGTACTGTCCAGATGTGTTTGGAAAAGGGGGATCTCTTTATAAATCCTTAGTTTTCATCATCACCATTATTATATTAATAATATTAATCATCTCCTTGAAATGGGAAACAGTATTGCTTTTCTGGTTTTGGCTGGATGAAATGTAAAAAGGAAAATAAAGGGGGGTGGGGGGGACAATTTCCCATGACACACATTTTCTCTTTCCTAACAAAAATAATGATAATTAATTATACAGCTTTGTGTAAAATATGGCTGGTTCTAGAACAAACTACCACTGTACAGCCTACCCACTCCCGTTCCCAGAGCCCCCCCAAGAGAAGTAAAACCAGGGTGTTGTTGCCACTGGAAGATTTTCGCTGAATTGAACCACAAAGCGGAGACCTGTTGCAGACTGTCGTCTTTGGTGTGGAGGAAGTCATCGCAGAGTGGGGAAGGCCAGTTTCTCTGTGATCTGTGGTCAGGGTCAGCTTGACTCTTGCCAGATGCCCAGGTGTGCTTGATGGTTGGATGGTTGTTTTGGTGCTTTGGTAAAATCCTTTCCTTTCTCTGGGCCCTACTCCTCTCTCACCCAGTTGTCCCTGGAATTCATGCCCGTTTGCGCCTGCCTTCGAGGTTTCGGAAGTTGCTGGGTCTCAGCTTCATCTCAGCAAACTGGATTGAATATTCGTGGCCCTTCCAGTGGAACCAGTTAACACCCTGTGAAAAAGAGAAGGACCCTGGGTTGGCCTCCATTGACACGTTGAATGACCCTTGCTGTTTAGTTGTTCAGACAAAAAGAGTTGCTTTGACTCAACCGTTTGGCACCTCACAGCTGTCTCTTGTCTAACTCTCTGTTGTTCTGTGTTTTGCAACCTTTAAAGGGACTGGCCAAATGGGACCCAATTCTTCACTCAACCTGGGTTTGCACTGAGTCTGCCCTTTTGGAAAAAAGAGAGTCTAGCAAATGATACTTGGCCACTCTTAGGGACAGGTTCTGCAGGAATTCAGGTAATGACTAGAGGTTACAGAAGTGAGAGGCTGGGTGTAGGGAGTGTGTGTGTGTGTGTGTGTGTGTGTGTGTGTGTAACGGACAGGATTCCTGTGAAGAATTTTAACAGAGGTTTGGTGTGGAATAGCAGCAAGAGCATATGAGGAACACAAGATTTGCCACCCAACAGACAAGGTTAAATATTAGTTCTCTCACTTAAGAAATAATGGTCTTGAATAAGTTTGTCAAAACTTTCTGGACTTCAGTTTCACTATCTTTTTTTTTTTTTTTCTTTTCCATCTTAAAACCTAATGATATCAACCTTGGAAAATGAAGAGTTTGTACAGATGCTATCACATGGGTGAGCACTTTGTGGCGGCTCAGTGAATATAACTTCTTTAATCTCAAGGAAGGAGAAATATACTTGAAATTTTGGCCAAAACTTTTTCTACAAGAAAAAACTACAATTGTGACTGGGCTTCCTGGTTCCACGTATGAATTTGCAGTGGGGATTCTTGATGGCCGTGTCTGCCCACCAAGTGCATGTGGCCCGTGGCCCCCACGTGTGGGAAGCTGAGTAACCTCAGCTTCAGTAGGGCTCCTGGAGCCTCCACACCAGCTGACCCCTCTCCTCTATAAGCTGCATAGAGCTGTAGGGAACAGGTTCCTGGTCAAGTTAATGACTGGTGAAATGAAGGAAAGAAATGGACACATTATTAGTTTCTAAATTTTTGGCCTTTATGGAGATGGGTGAGCTGAATTTGATAGGGAGGTGGGATTTAGGAACAGCTGGTTCATTTCACAGGCAAATGTGCACATAATGGCTCAGTTACCCAGGGGCACTGCAGCCTGACAGCCTGGTCCATCAGCTGCCCTCCTCTGCCCTTGTTCTTTCCTCTGATAGAAGTTCAGGGATGGAAGCCAGGTCCTCCTGGGGTTGTGGTGGAGACTGAACCCAGAGAGGGAAAGAAAGCTCACAGGGCCACACAGCAGCCAGAGCTGGGACTCAGCTCTCTGTGACTCCTTTGTGTCCTCTGGTCACCTCTTCTAGCCTTGCGAGATGGGACGATAGAGGAGGTTTCTTTTTGTGACATGTAGCATTTTTTTGACTGTTTTGTTTACAGGGCTTTGTATCACCCTGGCATTAGGGGCCCTGGTGACAAAAGCGAGAGAAGAATGCTTAGAGCAAGTGTCACTGAGGCACCGTAGGATGAGACGGAAAGAACCCAGTATTAAGAGGCGTCCTTCGAGCTCACCTTCCTCCTGACATAGGCATGAAAAATCTCATCCTGATTCCTTTTCAGGGTCAAGTGGAAAAGCCCATGAGATAGAGAAGGTGAGAGTGCTTAGAAAAGTGCCAGAAATTATGTCAAGGTAAGATCTACAGGTAAGGTCACAGGTATCACTTGTGAGCAGTCAACTGAGGCACAAAGACAGGCACCAAAAACACTGGTAATGGAGAGGAATAGCCCACAATCCCTGCTTCACGTCAGGAACCGATCACAGAGGCCACTTAAAAAATATCCCAAATCAAGAACTAAAGTACAAATAAGAAAAAGCTAGATGTAGCATCCCACCTGGGACAATCGACTCTGATCCCTGGGGTTGTGATGTGTCATTTGGACCACTGCATTTCTGCAAAGCCCCTGGGATCCCAAGAGCAGACTTGGTGGGAATCCTGGTTGTCAGGGATCAGTGTGGACTGTGAGAAGTGAGCACCCATCTCTCCTCCCTGGGGTGGGGCCAGCCTCTGAGAAGGGCCAGGGCAGGGGCTGGTCTTGATGAAGAAGGTGGTGTCACGAGGTGTTCCCTTTTCAGGTGCATGCTGGTGTAGGCAGGGCCCCGGGGAAGGGAGATGCCTGAATTGGGTTTGCTCACCTGTTTCTAAAGGGGATCTCAAAGACCTGTTCCTGTGATTGCAGAAGTCATGCTAGAGCTGTGTGTGCTGTAGGGGGAAAGCTAGGGGCTGGAAGTGGGGAGACTTGGATCATTTCCATTCCATGATTTTGGGAAAGTCACCTTTCTTGGGGGCCTTAGTTCCTTCATAAAGTACAAGGACTCAAAGGCTGTGACTTCACCCTAAAGTGTCCCTGGGGTTCTGAAGGTGCTCTGGGATGGGCTCTGCAGGATCTGTGTCACCCTGCTTCACCTAGATGGTCTTCACTTTCACTGGCTTTACTTTTGGGGTTTAGACAGAGGTTGTGTCAGAGGAGAGCTTTCTAAGTTTGAGACCCGTCTGACCAGTGGTTCTGCTTGGGATCTTCAGGGGCTAAGGTGCAGGTTCTATTGAGCTGGCTGGCCATGTCACTGAGATCTCTTACTGTATTGGGGACAAGCAGAAAGCATGTGGTCGTGTCTCTGAGGCTGTAACCCCTGGTCCCAGCCAGGACGGAGGGCCTGACCTGTGCTGTGTCCCTCCCGGGCCCTGACAGCTCTGCAGTCCACTCACCTGACTGTGGTTATTGTCCCCATATCTTCCCATCAGGTTGACACGGTGACAGTTCTTATACCAGAAAGCCCCTTTGTAGGACAGGGCACAGTTGGTGATGGCCGAGTCTGTGTCCTTGTCAAAGGTGGAGAAGGATCTGCCGTTGTGATAGGCCATGGAGTCACCTGAGCGGGAGGAAAAATAGGCCCCTGAGAAATGCCAGCTGGAGTTTCCCTTCTGCTGTGAAGCGCAGACTCAGAGGTGACCATCAGAAGGTCTGGGGTAGGGTGGCCTTAAACCTCAGCCCCTGGGAAGGTGGGAATGCACGGCCCCTGAGTGTTACCCCGGGGACCCACTTCTGATTGAAGAGACACAATGTGTTAGAAAGAGGGCTGCAGGGGGCTTGGAGGGGTCCAACCTGGAGTCCTCTTTCATCTCTCCCTGTGACCTTGCACAAATCAAGCCTTTTGCTGACCCTCAGCTTTCTCATGTATGAAATGGGACCAGCACACCATCTACCTCATGGCACTGTTGTGACAGTGGATAGGGAGAGGCACCAACAGGGACAGCAGGTGCAAGAAGGTGCAAGGCTTGATGTTATTTTACGATTTTTCTGTATTCCCTTTACATAAGATAGCTCAGAGAGTATGCCGAGAGATCTATACGTAATAATAATGTGTTTTCCCACATACAAGCATTTATAGCCACGATTATAATTCAGCCCTTTGGATATTAGGTATTGTCAAATAGCCTCTGTATTAATCATGTAGTTATTTAAAAAATGTTTAATAGACCAGTAGCCCATTTTCATATAATTCTATTTTACTCAGGAGAGGGAAGGAAAATGTGTGCATCTCCTCCCTGGAAATACAAAGAGAAGACGGACAGAGGCCACACTCCTGCTTGGGGGATGTTCTTGCCATATAACAGTGTCCTTCTTGCCCGAAGCCACTTCAACCAGAGAGGTAGTTATTGTCAGAGAATAAAATGTCAGAATTCTTTGAGGCATGCAAGAGATAAAACAATTTTCACCCCTGGCCATCTCTCCTCATTGCCACCAAACTTCCATCTCAAAAGAGCTTTGTGCCCCCTTAGATTGAAGCCCGGCTTTTGGCAACTCCTTGTTTGGAGACTTCCCTCTTTCCGGATGTTTTCTTTCGGGGCTCAGATGGGTTGGAAACGTGCCATAGCATCTGTGTCTTCTGTTTTCACAAACAGAAAAGAAGGCCACCCAAAGTGGGCACAGCTTGCACAGGGTGGTCTGCACTCTCACCCTGATCCCTTCTTGTCACCAAGAAGACTGTGGGCCACAGTCCCCTGCAGCCACCCCCATCCACCTTCCATAAATGGCCTCACCTGGGGCAAATCACTGGGCCTTTCTGAGCCTGTTTCCTCACCTTTACAACATCTTCCTGAAAGGTTTTTGGGAGGATTAAATGGGGGTAATGCAGAAGGAATGTCTACCCAAGAAGATGCTATCGGGAGGCCTCGGTACTTGATGTTTCCTTATTTAGTTCTCCTCTAATGTGGAGCCAGGAAAATGCAAAAAAAAAAAAAATCATTTTAAGTCAAAGAAGACTTCAAAATGAGAACTAGGGTTATGAACAAAAGCAGTAACGAACGGGCCATTTGAGAGGTGGGGAGCATGTAGGCTGAGGCTGGATGGCATGTGACAGAGATGTCTTAGAAGAGATGTAAGCATTTAGGTGATGGGTGGACTGCTTGCTACTCAGTGTAGCCCACAGACCAGAAGCACCAGCAACGTCGGCATCTCTAGGGATCTTGTGAGAAATGCAGACTCTCAGCCCCACCCAGACCTCCTGTTTCAGCATCAGACACATTGGCATGATCTCTAGGGGCCCTGATGCGCAGAGTAGGAAAGCTCTGCATCAGATGAAGAATAAGGCCTCTGAGAGACCATTTAAAAAAGAATCAGTCTATAACTGACATCTAAAGATGGATAAGAAACATGTTTTGAATCGTTAGAAATCAATCCTGATTGTCCAATGCACAACTTACTCCATGTCTCAGCAACTAAAATATCTACCTAACCTTTTCCAACTAGAGTTTTTCATCGGCCTCTGGTGGGTAATCAAGTATTTGCTAGTTCAATAAATGCATGCATTCATATAGGAAGGAGTGAGGGAAGAATGAGTAGAAGAATTAGTCAGAAGCACCATGAGGGTTTCTGTAGGCTCGTAGGCTCTAAGTGAGGTGGCCTTGTACCTGCTGTTCCACTGTACCCCTCCACCTTCAGCCTGTAGCGAGTCTTGGCATCTCCCACGCTGAACTTGTCGTAGACGGCGAAGGCTGTCTCCCCATGGTCTTGCAGGTCTACCCGCAACTCGTACTGCCCTTGGGCTGTGATTTTGCTCAGGTTATCCAGCCCTGTGGATGATAGGTAAGGGTTATGAAGAAGCCCAAGTGACCTAGGCTGTCATTTCTATTCTTTCCTGTGGGAGCAGCAGCAGGGTGTACTTGAAAGCGGTGCAGGTCACACACATTTGGGCCTGAAAACCGCTCTGCTCCTTGCTGGTATGATGCCAGGTAAAACATGTTTGTAAGCCTCAGGTAAAATCAGGTTGACATCTTTGCCCTTCCAACCACCTAGTGTATTCCGAAGATTACAAGTGATAAAGCAGTGACAGTGCCCTTAAAATTCTACAGCTCCTTGCAAATGTAAGGCAATGGATGATACCAGGATGGACATCCGCAGGCTCAGGCAATGGTGCATAGAACGATGCTCTGTGCTGGCAGGTTGGTGGCTAGGGTGAATGGCATGGCTGGCTGGCAGAGGGATAGATGGATGGAGGGATGGAGGGATGGAGGGATGGAGGGATGGCGTTGTGGGGCTGGCCTGGGAGACTTCACATTGCAGGTTGGCTAGATTACCACGGGCAAGACCTCCAAGCTTTCTGAGGATCTGTTTTCCATGTGCAAGATGGAATTTAGCACTTGGCATGGGTGTTCTGAGGGTGAGCTTACAGTTATGAGGGGCCCATCTCCGCTGAGCACAGGAGGGGAGCAGCTAATGATCCACTCAGTTTCAGGTTTAGGCCTGGTGTTGGCTTTCCCTCCATATGATGATGATGATGATGATGATGATGATGATGATGATGATTTTTAGTGACCCAGAGCATTTGAAAAGTCTCTCCCATTGGGAATTTGATACTCCGAGTCCACTGCCAGAGCTCCTATCACCAGAGCCCCTCCCCCTCTGGTCTATCCCCCCCCCCCCCCAGTCACTGCGGATTAGGACAAAAGACATGGAGGGCAGAAATGGGCAAGCATGCAGCACTGCATTACCCAGCCAGAATTCTTCTCTGCGGTCCCCGAATCCTTCAGCATAGGCCTTCCAGTTTCGATAGAAGTCCTCCCGTCCATTTTTGCGTCTCAGGAACACCTGCAAAGAGAATCAACGGATCTGCATGCAGAAGGGAGGGCCTCTCTCTGGGAGGGAGAAACAGCAGGCTATGGAAAGGCAGTGCCCATCTCCTGCTCTGTCTATGTGACTTTGGGCAGGTTGCCTCCCCTCTCTGAGCCTTCTGTTCTCACCTGAGAAAGAGGGACTGGAAATTCAGCCCTGCTTTGGTTGACAGTGACACATCAATGGAGCTTCTCCTGCTCCCACAGATGTACCACTCTGGTGTGGGATGTTGAAGACAGGGGAGATTGGGTGGGTGCAGGGGTTATAGGAAAACTCTCTTGATATATTTTGCTGTGAACCTAAAACTTCTCTGAAAATACAGTTTATTAATTAAAAAAAAACACAAAACAAAATAAAAACTACCCAGCTCAGATGGTAATGGGGCTGAAATAATTCCTGTCAGGCTCCATCTAGTGCCTGGAAGATAGCAAGTGCTTGGGTGGTACTAAATAATGTAACTTCTAGGTCTGATGATCACTGTCACACGTTACAGAGTTGTCTGAGGCGGCTCAGATGAGATAAATTATAAGAAAATCGTTTCCCATATTATTTTTTATGCCCAGCCTCTTTCCATCAGTTTAAAGAGATAATGCAGGAGTGCATCCATGTGACAGGCACCATCTTGCCAAACCTCATGTGCCTGGGTGTGAGGGTGCCCAGGAGGACATGGCACCCTCTTCACCTGCTGTGCCCCCAGCCCATGACCCAGGACTCTGGAGCCACCGTGACACTCACGATCCATCCGCCCCCATCAGAGGTCATGTCGCAGAAGACTTGCAGTGCCTGGGCCTTGTCACCATTGAGATAAATGGTGTAGAGGCCGGAGGTCGTGTCTCCATTCAGCATGGCTTGGGAGCAGTCCCTGGGGAACGGGTACAGGAGTCCAACTGCGGGGTAAGGTGAAAGAGCGAATCTCAGAGTAGAATAAGGAGAAAGCAATAAAACCTCGCTGAACCGTGGCTCTGTCATGTGCAGGATGGAGATAAAGTCTGTTTTGCATGGGAGCTGGGAGGTGAGGGATTATGGATGTGAGGGGCCACCTCCGTCCCCCATGCTGACAGAAACTGTCAATGGTAGGAGAGGAGCTGCTACAAGGGACACATGTGAGGTTAACCTGGCCTACCTGGGGCATCCAGGAGCTGGGGAACACCCAGGTGCTGTCTGGGAAGGCTGGGTTTCCAGCACCTATGGTCCCCTGTGGCATGCGGTGTTCTGTTAGGGCACAGGAGGCTTAGAAGTCTCATAAAAGCTTTGGAGCTTGGAGTTCCCCAGACAAATACAGGTCAGTGTGCAGTGTGGATATGTCTTTGCCGCTAAAGGAGATTCTGAGATGAGGGCCCTAGTCCTGAACCTGCCACTCACTTGCTATATGATGCTAGAAAAGCCATTTAATGATTCAGAGCCTGGGAATCTTGGGTAAAAGAAGAATTCCTGGGGGGATTTTCGAGTGTAATGATATGACACAAAAAATTCAAAACTGGATAGACATGGACCATCTTGGGGCTGTACTTAGGGTCACAGCAATTCATTCTTCTGACTGGACCACCTCCTCACTGTTCTCTACCTTCACCCGAGGTGCAGCATGTGGTATTTTGTCATTTATTCCATAGCCTTGGCCTGAGAGTGTCTTCCAGGTTCACTCATAGCTTTGTGTTCCCAGACCCTGGCCTAAGTTCTGGCAAAGAGAAGGCCCCTCCTCGGTAGAGTATTGCAGAATGATTGGGGGAAGGGGGGTGGGAAGGGCAGGAGGCAGCTCCAGAGGTCAGCTGTTCTCTTCGTCATGAATGGATGCCACGTCTTATTCACCAACAGAACCGGCTATTCATCTGCCATCTGCAGAAGATGCCCAGTGGGAGGTGTGGGGAGGGGCTCCCTGGCCCTGGAGGACCTGAGCCCACTCAGACGCTAACTCCCAGGCTAGCCTAGAACAGGCCAGTTAGTCTCTGGGAGCCTCCATTTCCCCGTCAGATAATTGGGCACCATAATCCTGGCCCACGGAGCTCGATGGCTGGGAAGACCATTTGTGATTTTGAATGCACCTCACTGAGGTCTTGCTCAGACTCAACAGCACACGGAGCCGTGATAGAATCCAGGGGTGCTTACCTCCAGCTCTCCTTTCCTTTCATCGGGATGCCTATGACCTCCTGCACCCACATATTTCTAAGTAGATGTAGATTTGTTTGAAAAATGCAAAGGAAGTGGAGGGTCGATTGAGCCTCACAAAGTCATATCCCAATTCCTGGTTGCTCCCTGGTCCCCTTACTTGTGGTGAAGATGGTCTGGATGAGCTTGCTCCTCAGTGGCCCATTCAACGCCTGGATTCTGGCTGTGTAGTGGGTGGATGGGCTCAGGTCTGCCAGGCTGTAGGAGGTGGTGTCGGGGCCCACAATGACTTCCTAAGGGCAGGGGAAAAATACACAGCAGTTTGCTCACAGATACTTTCAGGAGGTAACGGATGCATTCATTCATTATTGTGTGTACTTTTATTCATTCAGCAATAACCTACTGAAGCCCATTCTATGCCAGGCTTCATGTACACAGCTGGAATCTCAGAAATAGGGAGAATGCAGCATAAGAAAAGGCCCTGGGGCCAAGAAATGCAGAATAAGTTCTGGTGATAGGAGGAGGCAACTACTGAAACTGCAGTTGGTTTCCTGGGGGAACAATGGAAAAGGTGGGCAAAGATCAGACCACGAAGGACCTTAAATGTCAAGTTATAGAATTTGTAGCTTAAGGAATGGAGAGGTCTGAAAGTTTTTGAATGATTGAATTACAGGAACCCAGTTGTGTTTTAAGAAGCTTAAGTTGGTCTATGGCTGGATGAATTACACAAGGGCAGGAGTTTTGAGACCAGTTAGGTCAGTGGTCCCTCATTGTGGCTCTATCACAGCCTTCTGAGAAGCTTTAAGACAGCCTGGTACCTGGGTTCCATCCCAGACTACTTGTGTCAGAGAGAGAGAGAGAGAGAGAGAAATTGGGGCCTGGCTAGGTACATAGTCAGGAAGCTCCCCAGGAGGTTCTGATGTACGGTCATTGTCAGGCTGGGGACATCTTGGGTCAGGAGATGATTATAATGTTATAATGGTTCAGTGGTGGGGCATGTGCAGGCTGGACCTGACCCAGTGTGTCTCTTCTAGAACAGAGGTATCCAGGAGACACAGTGTGCAGTCCACTCTAACTACTGCTGTCTAGCGGAGGTGACTGGCTTCAGTTTGCAGGAGAGTTCTTGTGTTTCCAAGTCCTCTCACTAGCTTCCAATTCCTTTTTAGCGGATGACTTTGGTGCCTGAGATTGAAATTCAGCCGACATCCTCGTAAACTGAGCACGACAACAATGCTCTCTACAACCTCTGTACATGGCTGGCTGAGTTTAGGCAGCAATGGGTCTGGAACTGGAAAAGCTTGCTATCCTGATTTCTTCCAATGGGAAATTGAGTTTCAGGGTGTAGGTGGCAGAGGATGATCCTGCATCCTGGTCTAGCTGCACTCTAACCGGGGACCTAGGTTGATTTTCTGGAGTGAAACATATAAAGCTGGGGTTGGGCATGCAGGAAGGTAAACGAGGGTGAGAGCTCATTTAATACCAGTCACCCAGGGACCTTTGGGTGACCCTCAGGTCTCATCCCTGGGGAGGGATCAACCGTCGGGTGCAAAGCTGGGCTCACGGCAGTCCTTGGGGATACAATTACCTGCAAGCTCTCTAAGCTGCTGTGTGAACTTATCTTCTAGGCAGTCAGGGTAGTCTGAAATGGGATTCGTGGTTCAAGTAAACAGTCCTAGGATGAATGACTGAGAGGGAACCTTAGAACCCATTTTACAGATATGAATAATGGTATCAGAGAAGATAAAGGGCCTCTACCTGTTCATGCAATAAGTTCCTTACATACCAAATCCAGGAAGGGCCAGGAACGAGGGTCATGTGACTTCTGCCTAAATATGACAGATTGTCTATAACCTGTTTACCTCTGTTTCCTTCTGATGCTCACTATGAGAGTAAAGAAATATAAGGTATAAATCCACTTAGACAAGGGAGACGAGAAGGGAGAGCACAATAGACATGTCATGTCAACAGAATCTTGGTAGATGGGAAGTGGGTGACAGAGAGACCACTAACAGGGCAGAATAGGGACAATGGGAGCTAATGAAATAGAGTGGGCAGAGCCACTGACCACTGGCCACACATGTCACCAAGTCCAGCAAGTTCATGATGAATGTGTACAAAGCAAAGATACCTTTGGAGGAAATCTTTGGTTTGTTTAAAAGCTTTGAGTAAGAAATGCTTAAGTCCCCAGATCCTCTCAACCACTCCTAGTCCAGATGGAAAGTTGGGGTTCACTCTCTGGACAGGCTGAGCCAGAGGGGAAGACTCTGGATTCAAATCCACCAGCCTCAGCTGCTGAGGAGGTTAAACTGCTACACTGGAAATGTAAGCTGAAGGGAAGCTTTGCACACTGTGAGGGCCCAGGCTTTCCAGGGCCCCCCAGTAAAACTGCTGGGCACTTGCCCAATCTTTCTACATGAGCCCCAAGTTGATAAGCCCTGCTGGTGCTGTTGTCAATCCCCAGGAGCATTTTATTCTTGACTCTTGTGTAAATGAGCCAACAAGACCAACAGACATTGGGTGGAAGTCTTCCATATGAAAGAGGGAGACCCAAATAAAATGAACCCAAACAGCAACCAGAACATGGGGGGAAAAAGTTTGGAAGAAATGCCATGATGTTGCAAAATAGATATCAATGACATATATTTTAGACTTGAGGAGAAGATGATGCATGAAACCGGAACAAAAATGCTAGAACAAGGTGAATGTGCAGAGAATAAGGAAAGATCTGAGAAATACCAAGTAGGATCATCAAAATGAAAACTTCCATAACAAGTTTGGAAGGTAAAGTTGGGAAATCTCTTTCACTTGTCTAAAGGTCCAACTAAAAAGTAAAATAAAAAAGTTCACAGAGAGACCATGTGAATAGTATGGGCAATGGGTATAAATATTACAATAGTAAACAATGGGTGTATTAACAGTGCACAAGGACTTAGGGAGATAGGCTGAAATAGGTAATGTAATGATACCATCTGGGAGATGATATATATGGCAAGAATGCAGAAGAGGCTCTTGGTCTCAATAAAATGTTAATGGGCCAATAGTTCAGCCCCTAAAATGCCCTCACATCTTGTAAAGAGTGGCTCTTGATCTTGGCTGGCCTTAAGAACTGGGGGCTGGTGCGGATGAGAGAGCTGGGAGAGTCTCACTCAGAAGGACTGACACAGCAACCGGTCCCTACTAATATTTTTTTCTTCTGCTAAGCTCCCTGTCACAGTATTAGGTGATTTTTCCCGACTTTGGGAATCATGCATATGTGTCAACCAGCAATGGGGAGTTGCATATATACTGGAAGATACCTTGACTGTGCCATCCACGGATTCATAGACCAGGAGGTAACCAGTGACCGACGCTCGGGGAGGTCTCCAGGTGAGGAGGGCAGTTTCTGACTGAACCTCAGTGGCAGTCAGATCTCTTGGAGAATCAATATCTGGAGAAAAAAATGGACAAGTCAGTCAGTGTAGGACAGAGAGCATCAGGGGACTGGTCTCGGGTTCCTCCCCTGCCACTGACTGGGGTCTTAAGATGAGGAGGTTGACCCACGTGATCTCCAAAGAGAATTCTCTACTGTTCATCTCATCCTAAGGGCCGGGTTTCCATGGGGCCAGCATGGTCTCTGTTGGCCTGGGATGGATTTGGGGAGAAGATACAGCTGTGGAGACCATTACAGACCTCTTGTTTGTAAATAAGAGGCCAAAAGAATGCTGATACCAGTCTCCACCCTGACAGAGGGAACACTTTCTCCCTTTCCCCAACTGCTGAAGTTTGCAAAAAGATCTCAATGCATGAAAACCCAGTGCACATCTAAGAAAACTTGCCTGAAAAATCTTTCTCTTTCAAAATACTTCCCTGCCGGCAACATGGCTCATTAAATGCTGGATTTAGGGCCAGTGGGGACTGTTTTTCCACTTTAAAAGCCCTCCTCTTAAAATCTTTTCCTCATTTGTGGGGAGAACCAGGTCACTTCAGTTCAAAAGGAAATGGAGTGTTTCTTTGGGTCTTGACTGAATGGGCACGGGGTAGATTTAACGGGGGCTGACGTCATCACATTGCAAGGGCCTGACTTAAGGAGGAAGAGTTGGCCAGGGGCTGCCGCTCAAGATGCGGGCTGTGGTTGGGCGGCTCAAATGGGGAATTTCCAGCTCTGGGTGTCTTGGTACCTGTGGTGAACTTGGCAGTGAGGGCGGAGCTCTTCTGGGGCCCTTTCTCCGCAAAGACTCTCAGTGTGTATTCTGTGGCAGGTTCAAGGTCGGTCAGCGCATACTCTACCGTGTTCCCGGACACCGTGCGTGTAATTTCTGGCACTGAACATGAAATACATGAACCAAGGCAGTTACCTCTTGCTGTCTGGGCCACCCTTGAACTTGGCAAACAGCACACCCACCCCCTTCTAACACAGAAAGCTGCCGTGACCCTGCAGAAAAGCTGGTTCGATTCCCGAAGTGACTCCTTCCTCTCCTCTCTCTTTCTAGGAAAGGTTTATCACATTGGAGGAAGGGGAACTGGGGAACATCTCTGTGGCCGAGACTCAGGAACAAGCTACAGGACAGTTGTCAGCAATGTCCCCAAGCTGACGGACGATCCAGTGTTAGCTTGTCCATTGCCTGTTCTTTCTCTTCTTCATTTACTCACATATCCTATTATAAGTTACCAAATATTTTATCATCAAGGATCACAAAATCCTTAAGGTTGAGGGGTCACACTAATCACAGACACCAGAGTCTGGTTACCATCTCTCAGGCCCACTGGCTTATTCTGACCAATGGTGGGAACCAAACCACGTTCCCTGCCTAATCACAGGTGACCAGCTATCCTGGTTCGCCAAGGACTCCGGGATTTCCCAGGTGTAGAAATTTCAGGCTGAAACCGAGAAAGTCCCTGGCAAAGTGGGACAAGATGGTGACCTTAACTCATGATCCAAGTCTCCTTCCCCTCTGGCCAAGGACCTCTGTTACTCCCAGATCCACATTTTCCATGATTCCTGAGAACTGTCTTCTTATTTATTTTAAGTGAGACAACACATCTTCCCTGTCTTGGAGGAGTTTGCTCACAAGGAATAAGAATTAAAGCATAAAAAGAATAGATCCTATTTCCCCACCTCTTGCCCTGCCTATGCTCTGTCCTCACAAAGAAGTCTCTTAGGTCGGTGCCAGGGCCCAGTGAAAACTCGAAATGGCCCGAGGCACAGGTTATGGTGCCGCCTCTGACTGTCGCTAAAAGCAGAACAAGAACAAACCATACAATAGGAAAGCTACAATGACTTGGAAATTGAAATAGCAGAATTCTTTCTACAATAGATCATTACAAGATTGTGGATGGGCTCATTGGAAGTCTCTTCTTCCTCTCTCAATTATATTTGACTTTTTGGTGGCCACGGTTCACTGGTGCCTTAAGCATGTGTTTAACCTGCCAATTGGGTAAATTAATGTAGGTGGTTACAAATACAAGGAAAAATAATTTCAGATTTTTAAATAAAATTTGCTTCCACTGGTCCTTCCTGTGGCCTCTGAGAAGCCCACCTGGGTGCTACCTGATATGGTCTGCTTAATGTCTTAAATTTTGGGCTCTTGCTTTGCAGAGGATGAGGGGGTGTCTATCTCACACTGAGAGGCAGAGACTCCAGCAGCAGAGGAGGAAGGGGCGAGGCAAACAGGCAGAGGCTGGGAATGGATCTGCCAGACCCACTTGAGATTGCAGCTAAGGACCACGGAGACATTGCTGGCCTTTCCAGTCTACCCATGCATTTTTGTCATTCTGCACCCAACGTGGCGTGGAGTGGCAGAATGGGAAGTTTGGAGCAAGACAGACACTCTCCATGTGAGGATGGGCCTGGACAAGCACTTACCTCTTTCCCCTGTGTAAGAGATGACATAACTGTCCACAGTGGCAATGGCCGGCTGCCACATGGCCAAGGCTTCTGAGTCAGTGATGTTGGCTGTCACCAGGCTGGATGGACCATCCAGAGCTGCAAAAGAAAGATGGAGGAAGAGGTGACGGTCACACTGGGGAAGATATCAGAACCCAGCTGCTCTGCCGTCCGCTCTGCTTAAGGACTCTGGCGTTAGTCACAGTGACAGATGCAGGACCAGTTCAGAGTCCTGAGCCGGCACCAGGCTGACCTGAGACTCCTCCCCTGCTGGCTCTGTTACCCTGGGCCTCAGTTTCCTGACCTGTGAACTGGGGATAATAATTCTGGCTGGCCTTTCCTCAGTGTTACTTTGATTTTCACATATTATGGGTGGAAAGGTAAATTGAAAAGTGCTGAATGGGCGACAGGGATCGTGATCAGAGGTCACACCCCTTTTCCCAGGAAGGGAACCTATAGAAGACTGCATGGTAGACAATGTCTGAGGCCTGTCGGGGCTTTGAGAGGCATCTCTGGTGACAGGGCTTCTAGGTAATACTGAACCAGGCCTTGGAGGTTGCTGGTCTCAGGTTCTATTGTGGCTTCTTTGCCTGGTGCCTCTGTGCCCTTGGAAGGTCATTTCCCTGGACCAGACCTCCTCACTTTCTTCAGCTGTCAAAGGGGGGCTGCTATAGGGTCAACCAGACGAGGGGCTAAAGAAGCCTCGGCAATGGTGGTTATTATGAATCTATTAAATTAGGTATGGCTTTCAAATAACTTGTCCTGAGAAAGGACGTTCAAAGGGCCTCTTCTAACTGACCACTCTCCCTACCCAACGTCCCTTCCCGTTTCCCTCTCTCTCTTGCTCTTCATACTCAATTGCTCTGCCCCCAGGGGGGACAAGGGCAGCTCCCATGTGCCCATTTTAAGGAGGAGGCACCTGAGCCTCAAGGGATGACAGGACTGGAGGTGGCCGAGTTATCTGGGAGCCCGCACTGTCCACTCCTGGTTCCTTCCTGTGTCACGGTGGTGTACACAGTCTCCTCTGACTGGTGATGACCACAGGGGCCTCCGGAGGAAACACACCCAGCTTTTGTGTGATCTGTTGCTGGGAACGATCCGTGAAAGCAGGATTTCTTTGGGAAAATAAAGGCCCGTGCAGCAGGGCGGACAGGACTTTGGTTTCAGATGGGACGTTTTAATTGCATATCATCAACTCTTTTAGGCAATTAGGATATTTTTAAAATTTCCTACAAGGCCCATTCTTTGGTTCCCTTAGTGGATTGGGCGGGATAATTGCTCATATCTCAAAGGATAAATTGTTTAGAAACATGGCTGTCGGAAGAGAGATTTTCCACTTCATTCTCCTTCAATGCCATTCATTACTTCTCCCCTTTACAGCTGCAACTCAGGTTTTCATAGGAAAATAAGCCTTTATTTTATAATACAGGGTTTGCCATCTGAATGACCTAGGTTCAAATTTGGTTTCAACGTTTACTGGTTTTGTGGCTTGGTACCTTCCACACATCTCCTCTGTGAAGTGGGGATGAAAATGGCTGAGCGCATTAAATATAAAGGGGTTAGCAGCAGTTTCCAGAATTCTGGAGCTGCCAAAACAGAGGGGTGGCTACCTGATGACTGTCGCCAGTTTGTTTTTGTGGGAGGCACTTGCTCAGAGGGCTGTCACCATGGCAACAGGCAGGGGAAGGAGGGAGGTGGCGAGTGACCTTGCAATCGCTCACACCTGCAGGTCCTTACAGACCTAAGACAGACTTCACTGTGGTCTTTGCTGAAGTCCGTGTCCTGAAGTCTCCATCCTAATCTGAGGAAGGGGGAAGCAGCAGTATACAGAGGGCCCGGGACCCCAGAGAAACTAACTCATGTAGCCAGTAAATGACAGAAGTGGGATTTCAAGCCAGCTCACTATGACCCCCAAAGTTGGGCATCTTCTTCTATAACAATTGAGGAAACTGGGGCCTGAGAAGGTCAAGGTTGTGTCCAAGGTTACCCAACTCAGGAGAGGCCAGAGGTGGGCCCCAGATGAGACTTTTGGAACTCCAAACCCAGTTCACTTCCCACTAGGGTTTCATAAATAAACCTCCCACAGCTGCTGAGTCCTGAGCCAAAAATGCTAAAGGCAAGAGAGAAAGGCGCACAGCCAAGAGAGCCCTGGAGAAGGAAAGCCCACGCCCAGCATACCTGTGGTGAGCGACCCTGAGACAGGTTCGCTCTCCTCAAAGCCCTTCATGGAGATGATGCTGACCAGGTACTCCACCCCGGGAATGAGCTTCACCAGCCTGGTCTGAGTCTGGGTTCCATCCACAGTGACCATGGAGGGTGTACCTGGACCGCGGGAGGAGCAAGACCAGGAACAGTGAGACTCAGGGACCGGCACTCACGGTTGCCTTGAGAACTTCGGCTGTCCCACTGGGAAGTAAAATTCTGTCTTTATCTAACACCATTTTCTTCTTCATTTTCTCCCACTCTCTGGCACAAGGGAGTGGGGGAAAGGCCTCACTTTTTGTATCCTGCTTTTTCCATGGGTGCACTATGCCAAAAACCAAGCCAGGAGAGGGGAAAAACATGAAGTCACAATGTACTAAAAATGGCAAATTTCTGCTCATAGAGAGCTGGCATGTTGCATGAATTTTATTTCCTTTATTTTTTTCCCACAAGGCATACAGAAAGCTCACTCTGTAATGTCCAACTGAACTCCTTAAACCATTCTCTTGGGTTAAGTAGCATTATGGAGACTCCCTTGTTAGTAGACATGCTATTGATGATGTAAAAGATGGTCACAGTCAAGCCTGTGCCCTTGTATTTATTACCAAGTTCAGAATTTATCTATTTTAGAATTTCAGGGCTGGTCAAACTCCCCATGGAGATGCTATGACACTCCTGTGACTGACTATCCCCTCTTTATATACCTTTACAGTACCAGAGAGCTCACTACAGACTCCACTAAGGTCTTTATTAAAATCCACGTTCTGAACTGGAACTTGCAACTCTGCCAAGCCACAACTCCCCGTCCTATACTGAGACAGACAGATTTTGGCACCCAAGGACAAAAATCTCAACACATATCCAAGAGCAGCCTGTCAGAAGAGTTGCTCACAGAGAAAAAGGCCAGTGTTCATAGAGTCTTTGTCCTTGTGTTCAAACAATACTGAGAATGAATTTCTTAGGACACTTTAGAATTTCAAGGCCAGAGAGGATCTTCATAAAATGATCCCCCTACCAGGACTTTGTAGGACTTCACAAAGGATGGTCTCAAAAATAAAGGAAGGATTCTTTTTTGATAATGTTTGGGGGATGGGAATTTTTAGGGTCTCTCACTTTCCCACCCCAGCCTCCAGGGTCCTTCGGCCCTTCCCCTCTCTGAGTCCCCTACCTCCTGTTATGGGCACGTAGGTAATCCGGAAGCTCTCCACCTGGGCAATGGGTGCCGTCCAGCTGACAGTGGCCGAGTTTTCAGTGATGTCTGAGAAGATGAGCTCCTTTGGAGAGCCCATGGCTGTCAAGAAGGAAACATAGGAAAAACCCAGAAACAGTTAGTGGTCTTGCCCACAATGTTTGATCCTGGATTCTGGATCTAGGAAGACTTTGTGTCTAGAGTCTAGGTTTCCATTGGAGCCACGCCTTTAGGATGGAGGGCAGGTGACCTGTGATCAAGCTGTGACCGGATAGAAAGAGTGGTCCTTTCGTTCCAGGTACAGGGCCCAGGCCCGTGGTGCAGTTTTCATTCACAGGGACAGTTACCATCTCCAGTGCCTTCCAAGGAAGTGGGGAGTGACTTAAAAGATTGTAATATGTTCCCTCTTTGGTTTGATTTTTAGCTTTTTGCCAAGACTTGACATGTGTACACTTTGTTGCAACTGATATGATGAGGCTTCACCCTCATCTAGAAACCCTGAGAAGATGGTGCGGCGGTAGCTATTACACAGAGGACCAAAGTAAAGCTCCATTTTCCAACCAATATCCTTTGAGGGACATTTCTGGATCACAGGACTTTGTGGCCAAGCCAAGTACAGCCCGAGATCTTAGAAATAATAGTCACATGGAATCTGACCTTGACAAACCCACTTCTAGAACTGGAGGGAGGTCTAGAGCCAGGGGAACAACCTCGGGCCATCACCAAAACAAACACCCGCTGGGCACTGGGTGTACGTGTGGGGAAAGCCAGGCCCAGAGGAGGCTCCAGGTCCCCAAATGTCTCCCCAACAAACCCAGTTTCCTTTGGCTGTTTTGTGATTTCTGGCTCAGGGTTATGCCCACTTGAACTTCCCATGCCTGGCCAGAGATTTCAGGAAACAATTCCCAGGCTCTGGGGAGCCCAGGACCCCTCATTCCCTTCTTCAAGCCATGCTGATCATTAAGTTCTGCAGCCCCCAGACATCAGGGACAGTTATTTTTCCTGCCCATTCCTGCCTTCTTCTGTCATCTAAGACATCTCTCTCCTCCTCCTGTTTTCTTCTGTGACCTGGGAACAAACTCCGTGGTTGCCTGGGCTTTTGTTCTCTCGGTATCAAGTTTTGGAAACCGCAGGGCCCCAGGAGCCTGCAAGATCTTGATTATCCAAATACCTCTGGGAGGCTGGGCGACCCGGGGCATGTCCCCCGCCTTCTGGGATCCTCAGTTGCCTCATGTGTCCAGTGGGGAAAGTGATTCCCACAGGAATGCTGTGAGGATTAGCAGAGATAATGGATGTAAACCCTAGCACGGCATCCGGCGGGCAGTAACGATTCCGTGCTTGTGATTGCCCTCTATGTTCTTTCCCATGTGACTCTGCTGCGAGCCACCCTGGATTCTAACGTATCCCCCAGGAAAGACCTAGATGGGTCCCACCGAGAGATACAAAATGGGATCCAGATGACCTGCTTCAGCCAGTCAAGTTCACTCTGACCTCTGCTCTGGATGAAAACCTTTCTGGGGTAAATGATGGCATATTTTAGAACTTGGGTCTGATAGCCAAAGCTTTCTTCTCTAGACTCTAGCTTTATCATTGGTAAGATGGCACTCGCGTCTTACACGCCATTAGAATTAGTGACTTCATCTATCACACACTTCGGGGTGTGATCACTAAGAGCTGTGGCAGGGAGATACTATGCATAACCCGAAAGAAGGACCCAATCATGGTGGAATTCCAGGGTCAATGACGTACTATTTTTGGACCACAGAACATCCTAGGAGTTGAAGACTATTTGTTATTCTAGCGAGTCTCCTTCTGCATGAGTAGGGCCCCAAAGCCTCCAGCCCCTCAGCATGTGTCTGGACACAGAGCAGCTGAATCACATCTATTGAAAAGTCGGGGAGACTCAGATGATGCTTCTTGTCTCTATTTCCAAGGGGAATCAGTTATTTTTAAACTTCCATTAGGGAAATATGTGGAATTGCTAAAAACTTCTTAGGAGGTTGAAAGGATTCCTATCTGCCAAATAAAAATTTGCCTCCCAAATCTATGCCAAGTGTCTTCTGTTACATGGCAAATAACAATCACTTAAAAATTAATTCTCCTTTCAACATTTTTTTGGGGTACAGGGCATTGAACTTAAAGATAATTTACAACTGAACTATATTCTAAGCCCCATTTATTTTTTATGTTGATAGAAGTTCTTGCTAAATTGCTTAGAATCTCATTAAGTTGCCGAGGCTGGCCTTGAACTTACAATCCATCTGTCTCAGCCTCCCTAGTCAATGGGATTACAGGCATGCACCACTGTGCCTGACTCTTCAACATAGTTTTCTTGAACACATAATATGCATTAGGCCCTGTGCTACATTAGGGGAGCAGCTGCTGGAGGAGGTATGGTTTAAGAGCAAGGATTTTTGGAGCTGGACTAACTGGGTTTTGAATTCCACTCTGGCCTTACTCCCTATAAATGCCTTAGGCCCCTGAGTCTCTGTTTTCACATCTGTGAAAAGGGGTGGAATGTGGGGGCACTCCCTTGGTTTGTGTGTGTGGTGTGTGGAGACTCAGTGAAGTGTCTGGCTGCACCTGGCATGAAGTTAGTGCTCTGAAATTAGTGGTGATCATCTTTACCCTCCTGGTGGAGGTGTGAGTCAGAGGCAGAGAGGCTGGGGGTAAAGAGCCTTCATCATGTGGAAGGGCAGATGGCCACCTAGGTGTTTCAGACCTGCTGACCCAGTCCCAGGGACAATGCTATGGCTCCTTGGTGATGTGTGGCTTCAAGTTCAGCTGAACTGCAAGGAGCTAGGGAGCTGTGTGGCTGCTGGCTGGGAAAAGTAGAGCAGGGTGGGTGTGGGGGCACGTTCTGGGGGCTGAGAGAAGGGGTATTGATACCCTGTTGACACAGGAACTGGGGGAGGGTCACACACTTATGTGTCTGTGGACAGGGGTGGGGTTGGGGTAGATAAACATTTCTGGGTCCTCACTCGGGCACCCTGGGTAGACCTGAGGAACCTCCAGAACAACACAGTGAAGTCCTCTTAGTCAGTTGCTGGGATTTCTTCCTGCTCTCTGCCCATTCTTGGGGCCCTGGAGATGGTGCATGGAGGCATGTTGGCACTAAACTTCCTGGAGGAGAAAGAAGTTTCTCTCTAAAGGGGGGTCCAGACTGTTGTAAGGAATGGCTCCAACCACAGAGAGGAAGAGAAGCCATTGTAAGTGCAGGGACAGAGAGAAAGAAGGGGTGAGAAAAGTAATAATGTAAGTGTCCATCAGTAGGGGATGGCTAAATAAATAACACGGATGGGCTTACCTCTGACATCTATTAATAAATAAGAAATGCCTGGGGCAAAGCATGGACATGTGGTAATGTGTTAAACACTGTGCTCCTTAAAAAGGGTAAAAATACTGAATTTATGTCAATTCTTTTCTATTTATATATTTCCAGAAGGACAAGAAATTGGCAACAAAGGTCGTCTTTGGACAGAGCCACAGGGTGCAGGAACACAGCTGAACATGCTTTTTCACTTAAAAAATCTGAACTGAGTATTCCACTAAAAATAAAATTTACATTATATCACCAAATATCATAATAACTAGTGCTGCTAGTCTGGGCAAGGAAAATCTGTTTACACACTCAACATCCACAATCTCAGCTAAACCTTGTGGCTAACCTGTTGAGTTGAAATCCATTTTCCAGATGAGGGGATTGAAGCTGAGAGAGGAAAGGGCACTTGCCCAAGGTCACATGGCTGGTAAGAAGGAGGAACGTGATCAGAGTCCAGGGATCTGCTGGAGACCACCAGCTAAGCACTAGGGTAACCACTGCCCCCTCTGCTGCTCCTGGCACTTGGGGTGGGCAGCTTCTGCTCAGGGAACAGGTCCTTGTAAGTAAGGTAGCTGTCGGAAAGGAAGGAGGAGGGCAGGACATCATAGAGGAGCGTTCACAGTGGTGTGAGGGAGGCAAGAGGAGAGGAGAAAGAATGAAGTGGGAAAAGGGGAAGTGTTTGCAGCTGGCAAGGGACAGGTGAAGCTAGAGGTCTGCTGTGTTGGAGTCACCTCCCCTGCCTTCTCCCAGTCCCAGGGCACGGGCATGTGGGCATACGAGGGCACATACGTGTGTTCCCCCCAACCCCTTTTCTCTTTCTCCTCTTTGGCTGTGAATGCCAAAGCCCCAGAGAGGGAAATCTACAAGAAGTCCTTCCAGAACAGCAGAGCAGGCTCTGCTTCTCTTTGTTCTTTTTTTTTAAAAAAAAAAAAAAAAAAAGCAGCTCATGATTATTCATTCTCTCTCCCTCTCTCATTGCAGGGTTTCTAGAAAAAAAAATCAGCAAAACAAAATCAGAGATCAGAAGTAAACTTTGAAGAGCTGTGTTTATAAACCAAGGTCAAAAATCAGGCTCTGTCTCTGATCTGGAGCCATTTTAAAGGCAGTCACGGGGAGGGGCGACTCTGACCTGCAGGGGTTGGGGGGCCTCGCGTGCACAAGGAGCAGGGTTTTCCTGTCACTAGCTGGCTGCCTGGACCCCAGCATGTCTATGAGTACTGATCCTGATTTCCCTTAGTAGTTTGTGGTAGTTTATTAGATCTTGAAACTTGACATAACAAAATACCCAGCTTTACCCCAGGAAAAGACCATTTGGGCTCGTGCCAGGCTCTGTGCCTCTCAGAGAGGACAAGTATGTATACTCATTGGTTATCTGTGCTCCAATCTCTGTTACTTAGCTAACAGTACTAAAAGAAGCTGGTGGTTGGGGTTCTACTCCAAATCTAGCTGTGTGACCTTAGGCAGATGGCTTCACCTTTCTGAGCCTCATATTCTTCACGCACCCAAAGAAGGGGCTGAGCTGTGCCATTTCTCAGGGCTCATTTACTTCCCCTGAGAGTCTTTCCTCTGGCTACTCATTGAAGCAGCTGTCCCCGTGGGATACTGTTTCTGCATCTCCCTGTTTCCTGAAAGAATTCGACCCACCTCCTGTAGGTCTTTCCTTTTCCTTCTAAAGAGTCATTTAGTCTTAGTATTATTATCAAGAGTCAAGTTATTAAAGCTTTTTTCTTTTTTCCTCCTTGACAAGGCTTACGTGGGAAAGGGTTTCATTTCCCCCTCTCAATGGCTTTTAGAGTTGCTGAAAGAGTTGAATAGCGCTTCATGAAATGAATCCAGCTCCTGCCCCCTTCCTTGCTGAGCCTGGTACTAATTACTCACAGGCAACATTTTATAAATATGAAGCCTCACAGGAAGAGGTGCCACTTCTCCATTGTTCCCCACCTGGTGCAAATTGAACACCTAGTGCAAATCAAACGTTGGACCAGAGAACAAGGAATTGTATGCCTGGATACGAGAGAACGACGTAACAGGCAGAAGGCAGAGTCTTTGCAACCTGAAAGATGTGATAATTGCAACTACGGATGCTGCATCGGAGACAATATGACAGCTGTCTTTCCCCAGCCCTGGGTGTGCCAGGCTCTCTGCTATGGACTTTACATGAATTATCTCACTGAGTCCTCACAACCCTATTAGGTAAATGGCATTGTGCTGTAAAGACTCAGTTCACACTTGAAGGAGCTTGTGTGTGTCCAAAGCTCCTGTAATTACTCAGCCCTGGAGAAGGAGAGCCCCCGCGGTGACTCCTCTGTTCTCTCCTGTGTGTTTACAGTACCTGTTGTTGCTATAGCACTGACTGGCTGGGAACGCCTTCCATTGCTTATTCCATAGAGTTCAATTTCGTATTCAGTGGCCTCTCTGAGATTTGTTATGTCCCTGGTACGTTCATGGGCAAGGAGGATTATTTCCTGCGGCTCAGATTGCTTTTTGGTATCTCTGATTCTGAGAACAAAACTGTCGAAAATCCCTTCGTCAGCTGTCCAGGACAGACGGAAACCGTCCGGGGTGGCATCTGAAACCAGAAGGTTGTCAACTTCTGGTTCAGCTTCTAGAGGGGGAGAAAAAAGTGGAAGAAGGAGGAAAGAGAATATCATTTAGCAGCCATCTCCTCTCCTGCAGGGGTATCAATAGGCAGTGCGCCCCGACTTTCAGACATAGAAGTGTCCTGAGATACAGAAAATAAAATCATCCGACATTAACGAGTCTAGTAGGGCTGGGAGAGGGGAGGGCTGGAGCGGACGCGGTCAGAACAAGCCAGGCAGATGCTCGCATGTGTGAGTTCTGTCTGAAAGCACGTCTATAAACCCACATCTGGACTCGGCACCGGCCCCTCCCGTGCATTACTAAATAAGTTCAGAGCCAGTACTTGTTTATGTTCGCTCTCCGTCTTCCAGTGGCTGAGTGCCCATCTGCTATGAGACCTTTCTCTTTTCTTTTTGAAAAGACAAATAAACCAGCATTAACCATCTGTAGAGCTGACCAGGATGACTCTGATACACTTCCCTTGAGCCCAAACAAAATGGTTTTTTAAATGCTTGGGTCTTTTTATGCTCTATTCTTGGAGCCGACTGATTTACTAAAGAAGGCTCCTACTCTTGATTTTCTTGTTTGTTGGACTTCTGTTCTTTCTTGCTATTGGAACCATCAGATAAGCGTTCAGATTGTAGAACTGAGGCTTGGAACCTCTTGAGATATATTGTTTGGACCCAGGGGTTCATCTTGTATTGCCTTCACTAGAAAAAACTCAGGATCAAGGTAAACTTGGAGCTGGGTTTCCCAAAGTGTGCTAAAATCCAGTTATGCCTATTTGATCCTCCTCCTTAAAAGATATTCATTGTCAAAGAAGTTTGGGAAATACAGCCCTCTGGGAAATATACCATAGGCTATTCCACAAAGCCTTGTGGGCAAGGATCCTGTCTGACTTGAACTCAGTGCTTCCAAACTTATTTGAACATGCAATTCCTTCACCAAGCAGGACCTTCGAATGGTCTATGGAGCTACTAATCTCTAGAAATAGACTGTGAGAAACATATAGGTTTTTGACTGTTAAAATTGTTAATGCTATATTTCTCTAGGAATTTTAAATTTTGAAGAGATTATGGATTTAGTTCTGTGTTAAAAAATCTTTCTGATGTTAGCATTTACCAATGTGATAAGTTCCAATTTAGTGTTCCAATGACGAGACCACTAGGTGAGTTGGTTAGATCACAGTTAAGACTTCGAGATGGTAAAGGTTTTGAATATGTTTTTAAAATATACTCACTGGTATATTTTTTCTTTGAGAAGGCGGAAATGTAACTGGGGACCAGCCAGGATGATCACAGGGAGGTTGATACAGAGTAAGCACACAAGACCAGGCTAAGGGACTGGGGACACGAAGAGGGAAGATTTCCACCTTCTCGTTCTGGGATGGGAATGAGGAGTGCTCATTAGATGCGTAAGACAAGGGGAGGTGTGGGAGGACACGAAAGAACAGGCCACATCTGTGGATTAAGACGGGAATATGGACAAGGAGGTTAAAACCACGGTGACGCTGTAGACAGATGACACGGGGGGCCATGGAGAGGAGAGAATGGCTCACTTGAGTTGAAATACCTGTAGTGATCTCAGCCCTCAGGGGCTTGGTTTGGTGCCCTTGGGTGAAGCCAGAGACCATGACCTCATAGCCAATGCCGGTTATGAGGCCTCTAAGCTCCAGCTTCCTCTGGGTTCCTGAAAGTGTGAATTCCTGGGGGTCCAGAAGCTTCCCAGAATCCACCACCGTGACTAGAAAGCTGTCAAAGGCATGCTCCGATGCCATCCAGGAAACTGTGAACCCGTAGGGATTAATGTCGGAAATGGTTAGGTTTTCCAGAAGGGGCAAGGCCTCTGAAAGAAGGGAGGGGTGAAAACAACTCAGGTTAGCAGCGGGGACTCTGCCGGGAGAGCACAGGTTTCCACGCACACCAGAGACACCCGCTCCGTCACTCACTGTGTTACACGCTCAGAAAACAAATGTCCAGGAAGAGCTTCCTGGGGCCAGAGAGTGTTACCTAGTAGGATGCTCTTAGCAAGTCTATTAGGTGGGTGTCACTCCCATATCACAGGTGGGAAAACTGAGTTTCAAAACAGTTGAATGACTTGCTCAAAGTCACAAGCTATTACGTGATGGAGCAGGGTTTCCAGCCTAGTCTGATTCCAAAGACCACGCGCGTTTCTGTCTATTCAAACAGGATGTCTGTGTTGGGTTAGGACTCCTTTATCTCCTGCTGTTTCTGATTTTGAAGCAAATTAACTTTTTTCTGCTTTCTTTTTTTAAAGTATGTTCCTCTTTTACTTCGTAGGTTTCTATTTTACTTCGAATTCACATTTTATTTCTAACTCACATTTTGAATTAAATCACTTAGGCCAATCAGAGACACATCTTCATTAGCGATTTTTTTTAATGTGTCAAAATTAACAATTTGAGGTTATGGTCCAATAAGAAATCCTAAGATTTGATAATTCTTTTGCTGCTCATTTTCTTGGGTAAAGTTAGAAAACAAGGACATATCTGGACCTTCAACAAGTTTTACCATCCTTTGTTTATTCATTCACCAAACATCTGTGCCCCAGGTGCTCCTAGTTCTCAGTTGCCCAGGGGTCTTTTCATGCACAAGGGTGATACAAAGGGTGAGCTTGTATCAGCTAAATTTCTATGGATACTTCTCAGCTGAGGGGGTTTCACATTCATCATCCTATCTGTCCCAATGATATTGTAAGGTAGACACATTGCCACCTTACCCCTCAATCTCCAGGACATCTAAGGAAAGGGAAAGGCTATCACTTTCTCCAGAACACACATCTGCAAGGTGGTAAGCGGGGTTCCAGCAGGGTCTTCTGACTCCCAGTTCTTTCCACCTGCTCAGGCTGCTGTCTAATTAGTACTCCTGTCCCCAACCTCCGCCCTAGTGCTGGCAAGTCCTGAAGCACAGGAGGACCAGTGGGAAGGCCAGCACCTCCTCTGCAGTAAGCAGCACTGTGTAATGCTGAGCATATTGATCTCTGAGCAGAGGGGGAAAGGGATGGGAATCCCACAGCCAAGGCTGCTTTAGTGCACCTAGTTTAGCTCTTTCTTGTCCACTGTGGCTAAATGGAAACTTTCAAAGAGATAAATGACCTTGCGCTAATGCTGACAGTCTGATCGATGTAATGTTTAAAAAAAAATGCTTAAAAAGAAATGTTTGGTGACTGAATGAAAAAGTGAAGAAATGCCCTCATTCCCTAAGCAGAGAGTTAAATTTTGCTGTGACTTGGGCTTCCTGTACCTATTTTGCAACATTTGCTGTTTATTTTGAGGCATTTTTTCCCCCCATGTATAGATTTCCCAAGAATCAACTCTATCAAAGGCAAAGGTGAAATCACATACAGCGTCCAAATGACCTCTGCAAGGCAAGGGTCTCAAATTCCGCCTCTGAGTTTTATTTAGCGCTCTATTTGATAGCCAGCCTCTTTGCCCCTCCAAGCCATCAAAACAGTGAATTCCAAGGAAAATGAAGGCGTTCAGGCTAATTAGTCAATGGAGGGCTTGTTTTTTCAAGTCCCTCCTGTTCGTGGTTTGTTCTTTTTAAATATACTTCTTTTAAAATGCTGAGTCTTTTCACATCCGGATTAGCAGAGACAATGCTGTTACTGGATCTATTATTGGGACCAGGTCTCCCAGCCTCCCTCTCTCCTCTGTTCTGTGGGAGGTCCTGCAAGGGGCTACAAATAAGGGCCTGATGGCATCTGTAGCCATTCCCCTCCTCCAGGGCAGTGAGACGCTCACCTCACACCTGCTCTTCCAAGCTCCTTAATGAATTACTAAGTTCTGCCTGTGCAGCCTGAACTAAATAATTTAATTCACATTCAATAACTGGAGAGGATAGTAAATGCAGCCACGTTTTAATCTTACATTCAAATGTAAGATAACGAGGGTTCTCTTGCAAATGATATGCAAATCATGACTGCATAGCACTAGTGTTTAATGGAGGCATGTTGGGCATTTTTTAAATTTGCTTACTTATTTGCAATGCTGGGGATGGAATCTAACACCTTGTGCATGCTAGGCAAGGGCTCCACCACTGAGCTATACCCGGCCTTGCGGGTTACTTTTGAGAACATGACTTTCCTCATACATTTGGGAGGCACCAGAAAAGACCTGACATCTGTATCACACCCACTGAGCTACATCCAGGTAGTTATACTGCATCTGCTTCATCCCTGAAACAGGCTACCAGAGGCACCTGTGGGTGTCCTCCTGCCTTACTTAGGGAATTGGGGTTCAAACATATAAGGAACTTGCCAAGGGTATGTAGCTAAGTAGATGGGGCAGATTTAGAAACCAAACAGGCTTGATCTCAAATCCTCACTCTGCCAGGCCACCCTAACACCTCCAGGAAACTATTCAATTGTCCTTAATTAGAGCAATTTAGACCTGGGAAAGACTTGTTTAGTGTGAAAGTCAGATGGCAAAGTCTGTCTCCTAGAAGTTGTCATTAGTGGAAGACAAGAGACTTTAAAACATTTTCAAGCTGGGGATTTGGTAAATGCACACCATTTTTAGCCTTTACCATGGATCTGGGATAATATCAGTATAGAAAATAGATAATCATTTCTTTATGTAGATCAAAGTGAAGTTAGAAGTCAAATTTGACAGATGGGTAAGATTTTAACTAACCTTATAATTTATCTGTCATTTCAGGGTGAATCTTCATCAATCTGCTGTATTTGTCAATTTTAAGAATAGGTTTCTCTCTTTCTTTTTTTTTTCTTAAGATAGATTATTATATTTCTAGGACAGATAGTTTATGAACTGCCTTATGGCATGATTTATGGACAAAATCCCTGTCATAGGCCTTTACTAACTTAGAATTTATTCGTTAGTCAGTGTCTCCCAACTGTGAATGTTACAGTATATAAAACTCCCTGAAAGCCTTACATAGCCATTGAGAACATGCTTCTGTTTCCTCACAGTAGCTGTGAAGCATCTCTCCCTTCCAGAAGCCTCAGCAATCTCCTCACTTAGAAGTTGACATGGGGTGTCCCGGCCATTATGAGTAATGTCATTTTGCAACCTATGTTTTCATCCATGAACGAGTGGATAAAGAAAATATTCTAACTATATCTAATGAAATACCATACAGACTTAAAAAAGAAATTTTCACTTGCAACCAGGTGGATAAACCTGAAAGATACTATGCTAAGTGAAATAAGCCAGGCGCAGAAAAAAAATTCTACATGATCTCACTTATATGTGGATTTTAAAGAAGTTTAACATATAACTAGAGTATAATGTTAGTTACCAGAGGCTAGAGTTGGCAGGAGCAGGGAAAAGGGAGATGCTGGCCAAAGGGTACAAAGTCCAGTTTGACAGGAGGAATAAGTTTTAGTAAGCTGTGGCACAGCTTGGTGACCACACTTAGTAGTGATACACTGTATATTTCAAAGTCATTAAAAAAATGGATTTAAATGTTCTCACCATGAAAAGTAGGTGAGGTGATTGATATGTTCATTTTTTTTAATTCAACTAAATCAGTCCACAACATATACATATATCTAAACACCATTTTGTACCTCATAAATACAAACAACTATTATTTTCCATTATAATTAAATATATGGAAGTTTACATTTAGAGCGTAGACTGCATTTGGATGGAATTTGCCTTTAGAATATCTATCTCTTTCCCCCTTTCCCTATGTCAGAATTCCAGACAGACAAGTGAGAACCTCTGAATACCTGTAACGACAAAGGCAGTGAGGGGTCTGGTGGGGTCGCCAGCCCAGGTGGTCCCTGCTACACTGACGTCATAGCCAGTGTTCTCCACCAAGCCAGAGATGTGAGCTTGCTGTACATCTCCTGGGACTGTGACTTGCTGGGACTCATGCAGCGAGTGAGCATTGCTCACGTTGATAACAATTTTTGCAAAAAGCCCAGCTTGAGTGGTCCATGACACGTTGAAGCTGTCAGGAGTAATATTGCTAAGAATTAGCGTGCCCAACTGTGATTCTGGCTCTGAAGGCAAAGGAACATGGAGAGAGGGAGAAAGAGACATTATTAGAAGATGCAGAATATTTCTCCAGAATGTCACCACAGAACACAAATGTCTCAATATCTCCAAATATTTGCAGAAAAAAAAAATAGTATGTTAGGCTAACATGCTAACCTTGATACTTACTAACATTGATTATAACAACAGAGTATACATTGCTTTTTTCTGCAAGTATGGATTTGTGTTCTTCTAAGTTATAGGCATGGCCATGTCCTTAGTCACATAAGAAGAAAAGCAGAGAAGCCATTAGAGAGATACATAAGATTAATGTAAGAGTATTAAGCTCCATTTTCCAAAGTCTGTAGTGGGACACTAGCCCTATAAGATGTTCTAAGAAAAGACAGATTCATGGTCATGAAAGCACTGTAAACACTGAATATTATATTCTATTGTGGAGACTCGCAGAGTATGTTAGCATCTGAAAGGCTCTAAAAAGCTGATTTTATAAATAAATGTATTTGATTTTGGTTAGCCCAAGCATTTTGTGAACTTATTGATCAATGATACCCCATCTCAGGCATATTCTTTAAACATCCCACAGAGCTAGAGTTCCACTGAGCAATGTTTTAGAAAATGCTTCTTTGGAGTTATCTTAGTCTTCTTTTGATCTATTAGGATTGCACAAATTAAAGGCTAATGTCAGAGAAATTCTGCAGTGGCATAGAAATCCAAATGTATGTGTTATAGAAAAGTCTGGATCTCACCTCAAATACCGCAAAGGTGAAAATGGCTTCCATTCTTGGTGGATGCGAAAGCCAAGGAAAACTTGAAGCTAAGCACTGCCTTTTCTGATTAGGAAATTTACTTACTACATAATTTTGAAAGATGGATGATTCTACCTGGGATAAGCTTCTCTTGTCCCTTAAATTCTGGACAATCAGTGGCAAGAGCCACTCATTCAATATAAGGGGCTTTATGGCTTCTTTCCACAGAAATGTAAGTAAGGTTGACCTCCCAAATGCTCATTTAACAAATATCACTAACACTAATATAAGTTTAACCCAGATTCTATATTAGAGGCAATATTCTGGCGGAGTGGAACAGAATTTAGTGTTGAGAGAAGCAGACTATTACTTCTAAGGTCCTGGGTGTTGTTTTGCTTTAGCTCCAATATTTGGAGGAAAGAAGGTGCTCCCTTGGATAAACTGCAAAATTATACAGCATGACTTGATGCTCTAAGGTCTCTAAGGGTAAATAAGATCTGGCTCAGAAACAGAATATAGAGGTAAGCAATGACAAGGAATTTCCTATGTTATCAATTAGTTTGAGAAGCTAATAATGCTGTAGTTTTGAGCTATGGCACTGATAAATTTCTTTAACCACACAAAAGATAAAATTCTCCAAGCTCTGTTTTTTGCCTATATTTTGCTATAGAAGCAATATCCCAAATTAAGGATGCATTTTGGGATTATTCTCATGCTCACAGACAAAAACTGGCAGTACTAATATATTCATCATGCAGAATAAGATTTGGGTTCTTAAAGTTAGTTTTAGCTTCATCTGATCCCCAGAAGGTACAATTAAGCTCAAATGTAAGATTCGAGGAAAAACGCAGACAGAGAAGGCTAGTTCAGATGTGGTCAGTGTTTCATGCAAGCAAGGGGCATTTTTCTCCCACCATTTCTAACCCTTTGGAGTAATTCCTTGACATGCTGTCGACTTGCAGGAAAAGAGACATGTTCCAAAAAAATGCACTGAATATTCACCACATGCACCAAGACTTAGACAAGATGGTGGATGGAAAGAGGACTCTGACATTTCAGAACAGACATGAATGGGTGACAACACATGCTTGACAGAGTAAATGCCAAAAAGAGCAGTCTGTTGGGAATCCAGGCAAAGGAAAATCTCCAGAACAAGAAGAGACCACTAGGTCCTCTCAGGTGGTTCTTGGATTGTGACTTAGTATCTCTTCTTAGCCCACTAGTAGCACCATTATTTAAAATTCTGCTAGACAGAGACTGTAGATCATTCTGATCAAAGAATCAAAAATGACATGCACACCGTTTCTTTGCATACAACACAGGCAAACTTTGATTAGACAGACCACAGGCAGATGATAATGGGTGGCAAAGGAAAGGATTATTCAAGATCGGATGAAAGGATGGTTTAGAAATTCAAACAGAGCAAGTCAAGTTAACTCCATACACACAGACAGACTGGTGTTGGGGGGCGGGGCGAGGGCACTTTTAGAGGAAAGAGGTCAGATGCTGAAGTTCCTTAATTTGGGGTGAGTGCTATTTTAAAGCTTTCAAACTGTGACTTGGTTGGCTCTATCAAACTTGAAAAAGAACTCTTGGAACTAGGAGGATGAGAAGTGGGTTGACATTGGGATGTGATTCAGAGGAAGTTCAATGACAAGTGAAGAACCCACAATGGGAAATACCTGTGGTTGCCTGGACCATCCGGGTCTGAGCACACTGCCCACCAATCAGCCCATGAAGGTGGGCTGTGTAATTAGAAGCAGCTTTGAGGTTGGTGATGACCGAGCATTGGGATGCCCTGGGCACAGAGCGCACCACTGTTTCCTGGGGGTGGTGAGAATTACTAACTTCTACAAGAAGGCTATCAAAGCCTGGCTCCTGGGCTTTCCGCAAGATGGACACACTGCCCCAGGTCACATTGAGACAGTAAGATGGCTAAGGAGAGATCTGGCTACTAAAGCAAGAAGAAAAGATACGAAAGCATTTCAATTTAAAACACTGTCGTAGTTCAAGATCAAAACACATGAGGCTAAACCCATAACGTTTAGACTGTATCTTCCAGGAAAGTGACTTGTCTTGTTGAAAATCAATTTGAACCAAATTCATACGGTTGACTAATTTTCTCCCCTAGGATTTGTTAGATTGTAATCTGGCTGAGCTGGGAACTAGACAGTGCTGGCTCCTTGCCTTGACCACCCTGAAACCATATGAAGTCTCATGTAGAATGAGGACAGACCCTCCCTCAACCAGGGGTCAACTCAAGTGATAGATAATTATTGATGCTACAATGCTTGGATTTCCCCAGAAAATGGACCCTTAATTTATGAGCTACAAGGAAAAAGTTTCCAGAGTTTGTTCTCTAAATATCATTTTTGTTTTTACTTTGGGACGTCTTAGCTTACCTACTAAGAGAATGCATTATCTGAAATATGCTAAGAGTGCTACCTTGAATGGACAAAACTCTCCTTTCTAAATCCCCACAGGATTCTCTATTACTGAACAGCAGAACATGTGGCATAGGGCACACATGTCACAGATACCACAAATCCAAAGTGAGAGCAGTTTACTCCTCTTTAAACTAAGCCTCCTGTTTGAAGATGGCCATTCTACTTTTATTTGTGTCATGTACCATTCACTGTTTTGGGGGCAAGAAAGCATGATCCGACTTTTCCCCTTGGAAGTGGTATTGAAATTGGGGTAATCGGATGGCATGGTTGTCTCCTGCATTCACCTGATAAGTAATCTATGCTCTTTCTCTTCATTTTCCCAATTTAAAACAAAATACTATCAACGGTTTCCTTAATTCACTGGGATATCTGGGTAAGAAAAAATTTAGGACTGTAGGAAGACAAAGGCCCTCGAGATAACATAAAAATCCAATTCTGAAGAATTCATTGATGATTTCTACATCTTTCCAAGCTAAGAGCAACTCTCATTATAGCTTTTAAGTTACCAAAGGAGAGAATTCTTTTCTCCAGATTCTATATGGCAATCTGGACCGAACTACGTTGTGTGCTGCAAATAAATGTCCTGATCAGGGATAACCAGGCACATGGCTTTACGGCAATCCACGATTTGGACTTCTGTTGGAAGAGAGTTAGGTGAAATGTCACTCCAGCCCCACATTACGAAAGAGCGAGCAGACTGGTATGTGCTCTGATGGGTGAGCAGGAGTGGCTGCACCCTGCACAGAAGCCCGAGGACACGGGGGACGCACATGTACCTGTGGAGGCTGTGGTGCTGATGGTTTTGGTCCGAATGCTGGGAGCAAGTCCAGAGAGGTAGACAATGAAATCAGTATTAGGGGGGAGCCCTGAGATGTGGGCGGTTCGTTCAGCACCAGATATATTATATTCCGCAGTTTGCAGCAACCTATTAGAATCAATAATTTCAATGGTAAAGATCTCGAAGGCCCCGTCAGTAGCTGTCCAGGAGAGGTTGAAGCTCTGAGGAGTTATGTCAGAAACATTTAAGTTTCCCATTTCAGGTTCTTTGGCTGAAAAAAAAAAGGAGGGGGAGGGTAGGAGAGAAGGAACAAATAAATCGGAGTTAATTATTCCTCTGTGTTTTAAGACTGAAGTTGTTAATAAACCATCGCTGGGAAGAGAGATTCCACAGTTAGGGGTTATGGTGAAATGAAGCTGCGGTGACCGTTCAGTGCCAATGAGAGAAGAAGGGACTTTGTTACAAGTTAAGAAAGGAAGGCATGGAGATTAGGTTTCCCTTCTCTGCACTTGCCATGCATGATCAGGCCCTGTGAGATCCCTGGAGAGAGAGGTGCTGGATGATCTCAGTGCGGCAGCTGTATGTCAGCTGCACCTGTCTCCAAGAGCGCCGCTTCAGGGCTGGTGGCCATGGCTCAAAATACAGAAGTGCTGGTAGCTTCCTGTCTCTTGAACTGCACTTAGGAGACCAAGATGACTTGGATGCCTCCCCAGACATCCTTTGCTTTGGTTTGAGGGTGCTCCCATCTATTCAAATGAAGGCTAAGTCATTCTGACACATCAGCCTCCCGAGGTGGCACCTGGAGGCTTCTGTTTTTGTGACTTGGAGGGATTGGCAAATTTCTCAGTGTAATTCTCGATATATATATTTTTTTCATCCTTCAGATAAGGGCCAGCTAGCTGTTCTCACATTCTGGTAAAATAGCTGGTCCACTCTCTTAATCGCTTCTGTGTGCGCCAAGAGGACTAGCACTGTATCGCCAGCCAAGAGTGTGAAGCCAAGACAAGGCAGTTTCGGTAACTCTTTTTAGCCAGGAAATAATATTTTGTCCTGGAGATGGTCCTGCAACAGGAATAAACACACATAGGGCAGGCAGGAGCAGGAGCAACTTTGAAAAGTTGGTGCTGTTTAGCAAGGAAGAAGGCTCCAGGTCTCTGAGACCAACCCAACGATCTGTTGAAACACAGATCAGATGGAATTATGGCCCTTCCTCCCCATCGGCCAGCTCATCAGAGGTAAGAATGCCACTGTCATTAAAAAGAAAAACACACACACACACACACATAAAAACATCAATGGAATCCAAACCACATGATCTGCAGGAGAGATCAGATGGTGGGTGATTTGTCTGCCTTCTGGGAACAAATGATTTGTGGATGTCAGGTTAAAAAGTCCCGGGCAAATTCAGGGCAGCCTCCACCACAATTTCTAGGTATTTCTGGGTCACTGTCCATGCAGTGGTCACCTGTGTTCCTCAGTAAGGGTTACTGAAATGACTAAGGCTAAATTGCAGATCTACGCTTTCAAATCAATGAGGATGTACAGGCTTGCTGTGCAAGTTCAGTTGCAATAATTATATAAAAAGGGAGGCAGTGATTTGCAAAGCAAGGCAGAGCAGCCTCAATGAGCATCAAACCAACTGGGGCACATCGTAAAGATGAGCAACGGAAAATGGTGGTGGTGGGTGGGAAGGCCGCTCACTTTAACACCCTCCAGGGAAACAGTGAAGCCTGGTAACTGGAGCAGAGTGAAGAGAGGTGGGAGTTTGCCCTCTAAAGGCCAAGCACTCCAGGGAGCAACCCTTGATTCAAACAGCAGAAAGGGTACCAGCTCTTTCATAGCCTGGGACATTCCTTACTTCAAATGCTGCTGACTGTACTTCTGCTAATGAATGGCTTTCTCTTTGGTATGGTTGCTAGTCATAATTGCATGATTTATTTTTTTTCATTTTGGTCTAGCTGTTGGCTAATTTGATGTTGTAACAATGACTCAGTATCTGAGGGAATGGCCTGGAGGAGGGCAATTCAGTTCTCTTATTCTGTTCAGTGCATTTTAAAGAAACATTTCTTAAATGAAAGAACTGCAGGACCCATACCCTCGAGGGTCTGGAGATGGTAAAGCACCATTGTCAAGCGACAAAAAGACTCTCTAAAAGAAATAACATATGTCTCCTCACCATTGGAAAAGATGGGCTTCTAGTGATATTCCAGCACTGGAGAGGATAATTAAAAGCATGAGGTTTAATCCATGAGACAAAAAGCCATCATGCAAAGGAGACGTAGTTGTAGGACTGGCCAGGTAAGGTATGGGAGAGAGGCCGGGGGCTGGAGGCTGGAAAGGGCAGCCTCCACAGTGTTCATCACAGCCACGGCAAAGGCTTCCAGACAAAGGTGCAGCCCACAGGGAGGTCTCTGAGCATGCATGGCCAGCCGCTAAGGACACATGGCAAGGATCCAGTTATGGAGAGAAGCCGAGTCCCTGTTCCATCTCTTGGAGAAGAAGCAGAGAACCCTGGGGAGAAAACATGAACAGTGGAGGAAAAGGTACCTGTGAAGGCCTCGGCAGAGAGCACCGGTGTTCTATAGCCCCGGATCACCCCATAGATGGATACTCTGTAAGGGGTGTTGGCCTTGAGGCCAGGGATGTCCATAGCCCGGAGGCTGCCTGGCACCGTGAGGTTCTGAGCGGCCTCCACCTTGTTGGCTTCCTGCACCTGAATGACAAAGTGCTCATAGGTCTGGTCAGCGGCTGTCCAGTTGAGTTTGAGGCCATCCCAGCCGACCTCAGTCACGACTAAGTCTCCCAGCTGAGGGAGCTCCTCTGAAGAAGGACAGAGAGGTATTTGTCAGTGCTGCAAACAGAAAATGAGGAGCCACAAGTCCCACGGCCCAACTCCAGGAAAGACAGAAAGAGGAGAGGAGGGTTTTGTTTGGGTGATTCCTGGTCTGTGGATGCTTGGGCTTTGAACTTGGTACTCTGGCTGCATCTTTCTGCAGGAGTTGAAAATGGTCAGAAAGGGGAACCTCTGCATGGCTCAGCCTTGAGACAGCCAAGGAGTCTGTACAGATGCATAACCCTCCGGGCAGCCCTGAGCATGCATCGCCAGCTGCTAAGGGCTAAGAAGCATGGAGAAGGTGGGTCTGTTGAGGGAAGTGGGGTTGAAAGTGCAGGTTTTGGAGGTGGACAGATCTCGGTAGGAATTCCAACACTGTAATTTGCCGGCTGAGTCATCTTGGGCATGTCACCTGGCTTCTCTCTGAGCCCCTCTCTCTTCACCTTTCAATGAGGCTGACAGGACCATTTCATTGGCTTGTGTGATGATTATATAATAGTTTTTAATCAACCCCTTCACATCCTACCTGACACAGAGTGAATGATCTACAAGTGGCAGCTTAAGAAAACAGGTCATTATTTCTTCTTGGAACTTCTCAGTCATTTGGGGGGCTGACTTGCTTCCTCTCAAGGCCTGGAATCAGGATCACCTCAGTATTGGCCACCAACTCTCTTCCTGGCTTTATAAAGCATGTGCTGTCTCAAGTTTGGATAAGCACAATGTTTCATCCCTGGATCTCCCTCTGTTTTCAGGGATCAGAGGTTACCTACTGGATTCTTGCTTGGTTTTCTCCTCCCACCTGCTTTTGCTGCTGAGTGAAGAATGGTTGTGTCACACTACGGGGGTGCTCCTGTGAAATGTGTGTGCCTACTTTCAATTAAAAATGACTATTTTTTTCTCAGTAAATGGTGCAGAACAGGGCCGGCTATTAATTTCATATGATGTAGGAAGGAAATTGAATGGCGTTATTATTGCTGATTTTAAAAGATTGCATTCGGGTATAGAAAAAAAAAATCCACTGCTTTATGAGATGGTTCTCAGGGTTAAATGCAACTTCTCAGCCTCTCTCCTTAAAACTAAAGTGGCTATGGATCAGAAGTTCTGGAGCAAAATATCTGCAGGGATCTCAACCCCCGCCCCTACTCCGGCAAAGGTCGGGGAGCTTTGTTCTCAGGTATCCCTGGATTAGAAGAGTGTGCCAGGAGAGTCTGAGCAAACTCTTCCTGTTAGAGGGTCTGTTTTCAAACTGTCCCCCACACAGACCTGGCACTTTCCTGGAAGGACTTCTTTGGAACACAGATGCAGGCATCTCCCCCTTCCTTCCCAGCTAAGAACTGCTCTTTGTCTGTCATATAGAGGGTTTCCTGGGGAGATTTCATTTGCTAAAGAAGTTTTATCGCTAAAATTTGTAGACTGTGAAGGTAGATCATTCTGCACCCAATCACACATTTCTCAAAGACCTTTTGTGCTATTGTTTTGTTTAAAGGTATTTGAGGAAACACAGGATAATAACTTGGCCAAATGAGGTAAATGATAACATCACCTTTTTTATTTTTGAGATCCTGTGTGGTTTCTATCAATGACCAAGTTTATTTGGCATATAAGAGCAAGAAAAACAACTTATTTGAACTAGCTAATTTGCGTGGCATAAGTAAAATACAAGGGACATGGGCTTAGAGAAAAACCTGATTATCACAGATTTGGCCCATTTGACCAAAGCACTTTTTGAAGCTATTTCTAGAAACCTCAAGAAGAGTTCACAGTTTTCTATGATAGATGGAACATCCTATTTTCAGGGGAAAAATTGAGATGAACTGTTTTCTCTCTCCAAGTTGAATAACAAACAAAGAACTCGAAAAGTACTATCCTTTCTTGGAAATATTCTTATCCTGAATATCTGATAAGGAGACAGATGTGGATACTTTCAACTGAAGATGACCAGATCATTCCCTAGAGTGATTCTGTAGCCATCTGACTAGGAGCTAGACGTTAGTGACTCTAAAGCCAATATTGATAAGGTTTTTCTAGAAAGTTCTTCCCTTATCCTTGTGCCATGGTCCTGCTGTTTGTGCTATTTTTTTCAATAAAACTGTTGCTTATGACACATTTAGCCATTTGCTATTCAATACTGACTGCATGATGGGCACTTTGATAAGCACGTTCATTCATGAACTCACTAATGCTCATGACAGTGTTCCAAAGTAGGGGTGTGATCTCTGCTTTGAAGATGAGAAAAGGCTCAGAGATGCAAAGTGATATACCCAAGAATATTCAGCCAGGAAGGTGGAATTCCAGCGCAAACCTTCCTGAATTACAGATTCATGCTGCCTGCCAACCACTTTTAAGGAGGATACCCTGCTACATGGTACGGAATTTTCTATCCCAGCAACAGGTCTGGAAGGGGTCATATACCTGTGGTGACCTCTGCAGCAAGGGGTCGAGTAGTGTGGCCCTTGAGCTCCCCATGCAGGGTGACTGTGTAAGGGGTGCCAGCCCTGAGGCCTGGGATCTTCACTGAGTGCAGGCTGCCAGGAACCATGAGTTTAAGAGCTTCTTCCACCTGACCAGCCTCTTGGACCTGAATGATAAACTGGTCATAGATGCCATCGGGTGTGGTCCAGTCCAGTCTGAGGGTATCCCAGCTAATCTCGGTCACTGTGAGGTTTCCCAGATCTGGAACCTCCTCTGCATAAGGACATAAAGTTGCTGGGTTACTAAAAAAGGCAATTGCATGCTGGGATCCAGGTGAGATGGCATTTTGGCTGAGGTTGGGATGAGCTGTCTGGTTAGTGTCGATTGCAGATGCTTGATTTACAGCGGTGTTGAGCGCGCTCTCATTGTTGGCACTAAAGCCGGGGTTTTTCTGTGCAACTATTGGGAATGAAAGGTGGTTTTACGAATTGTTCACAACTTCCATTCTGGACATACAAACAGGGTTTTGGAGTGTCCTTGAGTGTGCTTGGCATGAGTTCAGAGCTATTTTCTTTTTTTTTTCACTTACAAGTAGTGCTTTCCAACTCCTTAGATATTATGACTGAAATTTGCTTTGGAAAGAGCAACCTCTCACTTTTGTAAATGAAGAATAGGTGGAATTTTCCATGGGACTGGCTACCAGACTACAATGAAGACGCGGCCAAATAAGGGATGTGATATTTGGGAAGTAGAGATGATTCACCGGTATTTTCCCCAACATGGTAGGGGCTAAACCCAATTGAGAGCCTTGATTCCTCCTGAGCAGATACAGGGGGATGGAGCAAATGAGTGAATTAGTCTAGAATACCTGTCAAGACTTCAACAGAGAGAGGGGCTGTGCTGAAGTCCCCAATGACCCCGCGGATGATGATGCTATAGCGTGTGGCTGACTTGAGCCCAGGCAGGTCCACGGACCTCAGCCCTCCTGGGACTGTGAGGTTCTGGGCTGCCTCTCCCGTGTCAGCCTCCTGCACCTGAATGACAAAGTGCTCATAGGCCCCCTCTGGAGCAGTCCAGTTGAGTTTGAGGGCATCCCAGCCCACCTCGGCTACCGTGACCTCTCCCAATTTGGGAGATTCTCCTGGAGAAGGACAAAGAGCTGGTTTAAATCACACACCAAGATGCAGGGAATCTTGAACACAGGAATAGGCTTTTAAAAACTTTGATAAACATGCATCATGCAACTTTCTAAATTTTAAGAGAAGAGCAGAGGGAGAGGTTGGGGACTATTTGTTTTCTTATTAAAGAATGGCCCTAAACATCAGATGTGGGGATTAACTTATTTATGACTTCTTTTCCTTTTACATATAGTGTTTTAACTCCCTTGCAGTCAGTCCCCTTCCTGAGGCCACAGGGTGAGTCCCACAGAATAGGCTCTGTACAGTTTCAAAAGGGGTTGGTATGCGGAGTGAAGGTTAAGATGGCCTTGGAGTTGTGCTGAGAGCCTTGCTGTCCATTATTGGACTCTATGGCACTCTAACCTATAGCAAAACGAGTCCATTCCAAAGCTAGATTATCTGCCTGATTATCCACGGCCAGTTTCCTGTTGGGAGAAAGAGAAGCTGTAGGTTAAAGGTAGGAAGTACCTGTGAAGGCCTCGGCAGAGAGCACGGGTGTTCTATAGCCCCGGAACACCCCATAGATGGACACTCTGTAAGGGGTGTTGGCCTTGAGGCCAGGGATGTCCATAGCCCGGAGGCTGCCTGGCACCGTGAGGTTCTGAGTGGCCTCCACCTTGTTGGCTTCCTGCACCTGAATGACAAAGTGCTCATAGGTCTGGTCAGCGGCTGTCCAGTTGAGTTTGAGGCCATCCCAGCCGACCTCAGTCACCGTGAGATTTTCCAGTGCAGGGGCTTGTTCTGAATAATGAACAGAGATGGGGTCAGTTAAATTATTCCTCAAAATGCTTTTTTTCTGAGGCCCGCTGCCAAAGATGCAAAGTCCTCGGAGTCCAGGGGCAGGATTTTGCTCAGGACACCCCTTAGCCATGCTGTCCCCAGTAAAACCCCAAGAGAAAAACCATACAGTGCTTGTTTTACCTGCATGCATATTTGGGTTTGTGTTTGGGAAATGTATTTTCCTATTGACCTGTGTCCTGAAGACTTAGGAAACTTTTCATCTATGTGAGTCATTATTACTTTGGAGAATATATCTTATTATAGGAAGGTGGCCCTTGGCTGTCCTTGGATCTTGGTCCAGCCTTCTATACCTTGAGATAATTGGCTGCTCTTAGACCCTGCCCCCTCCTTTTGCTGCCTCCATCTCCCCTGGAAGGCCTGCTGGAGTTCATATTGGAATCTTGCCAGTTTCTAGGGTTCAAACCAGTTTACTCAGTAAGGACAAGAGGTAAATGAACACTGTACTAGTAAGACTGACCTGAGAAAGGTGACACACCTTTGAAAAGGGGTCCCTTATGGGACAGAAAGAAAGACTGAGGCCTTGGGAGAAATGAAACTTACTGAGCTCAATTAAAACGGTCTGCAGCCTCTTTATTCATCTGACACGGAACTGCAGCAAAAGCCCACTTGTCTGAGTGTGCCTTAAGAGGGGTCATGGGCCTGAGGCTGAGCTTAAAGAGACTCTACCAGACCTAGGAAGAACAGATTTTTCTGGAAAGGGATACTGTAAACAAGAGAATAGGAGCTGGATTTACTCACTCAAAAGAACAGTTTATGTACTTATACCTCACATGGCTAATTTCAAATGAGCCCTATATGTTCACGACAGTATTCTTTTAATTTGAAAACATTAGCATACAATTTGAACAAGGACATCCTTTCAGAGGGGAAAACATATCTTTTCTAGAATCTGTTTAATTCAGACTTTTCCAAATTCTGGAAAACATTCTTCATTGTTTCCTATTGGCAAGGCTTATAACCCTTCAGCTTTCTTCTTTGTTTAGAATTTACTTTGACCCAGCAGATAGGCACACAAACCACGACCTGAGGGGCCACATCTGGCCTGCCGGCCCCTGTGGCAGTTGGCAAGTGACATCAGTTTTTACATTTTTGAATGGTTGACAAAAAATTCCAAACTGGAATGATATTTCCTGATGCATGAAAATCAAATGAAATTCAAATTTCGGTGTTGTAAACTAAGTTCCACTGGAACAAAGTCACGATTGTTCCCTTAAACATGCATGATGGCTGTTTTTGGGCGACAACGGCACAGTGGAGCAGTTGCGACAAATTGTCTGGCTTGAAAAATCTGAAATATTTACCATCTGGCTGTGTACAGAAAACATGTGTGATACCTGATCTTGAACTACAGTCCATGGATACCTCGTTTAACCCAAATTCATATCCTGGTGCTCATGCCCAAGGCTTTATAACGGTTCACAATTGCCTAGACACTGTCTCCATGAGAAGGAAAGGACCCCCAACTCAAGCTGATGTGTCTATATTTGGGGAAAGAAAGGAGAATCAACTACCCTTAAGCACACAGGCCCTTGTGAGACCAGGAATAATACCTGCAGATAGGATTTTATCCTTGACCTTGGGATTTAATCATAACTAACCTCAGGAGCATGCTGCCCTCAAATATTCCAGCAGTCCTCATGCATAAAGAGATGCAGGACAAAAACAAATCTAAGCAACAATAAACTCGATCTTGTGGCTCTTAGACTCCCCTTCTTGGCTGGCTCTCCTCTTTTTTGTTCTCCTGCTTTTCAACATCATTGCCAGAAACTTATCTGACATTGACAATTTATATTTTTGAGTGAACGAAGACACCATCTTTCCTCTCCAGGAATCTGTATTTTAAGCCTAATCTCTAACATGACATAAAACATTATTTTTTTACCCATCATAAAAATTTCAGATTCCAGATTACAAAGGATGTGGGGAGAGGTCCCTACCTGGGGGAGGGAGGAGATGATCACAGATCCCATGTTAAGCTGTTAGAGTAAAGACGGATGGAAAAGGAAGAGCAGACAGACAGCAGAAAATGTCTCTTCCTGATGAGAATCCCCTCATCGCTTTGAAAGAGCACTCGTGTAGGTCACTGATGCTTTCAGAACTCGACCCCCACTTCCTTTTCATATAATTCCATGTCCAACAGTAAATAGCAATAGTCATGGTGATGATGATCTTCTGCCAAAATTTTTGGCTATTTCTCCATTTTTGAGGGTAGGGTAACTGAGAAGGAGCACTGGTTTAACTCAGACTTTTCCAAATTCTGGGGAACATTCTTCATTGTTTCCTATTGGCACAACTTATAATCCTTCAGCTTTCTTCATTTTTAGAATTTACTTTGACCCAGCACGTAGGTACACAAAGCATGACCTGAGGGGCCACATCTGGCCTGCTGGCTCGGGTGGCAGTTGGCAAGTGACATCAGTCACTTGAGAGGAGTGTGTGGTCACATTAGTAGCGGGTGCTGCTGGCATCTGCCCAGAACCCTCTACTAAACAAACAAATGCCAGTCAGAGAAGTCAAAGGTGCAGCTCTGTGAGTAACATTAGTAGAGAAATGAAGGAGACAGGAACGGGAGTTATGAAGGGAGGGGACACCATGAATGAAAGCAGAGCGGATGGAGTTTAGGTGGCCACCACGAGGCTTCCCATTAGTGCTGAGTCCACATTTCCACAGCTCATGACACCCCGTGGGCTTCCTGCCCCCAGAAGCCAAGTGTTTCCATTGAACAGTTCCGCACTGACTTTCTTGGCATTTCTTGATGAAAAGGCTGTTGTCTTTTTCTTACAGCTGTGCGTTGGAATCTACCCTCTGAACAATGTCAGTGGGCCTGGGAAATCAGAATTTCCAAATCTCATGTCTGTGCTCGGGGTGGGTTGAGCAGCTGGCCCTGAGGAATTTCTGGCAGTGTCAATTTCAAATCTTTCGATTCCCACCATCCTGAAGATGGCAATGACCTAGTGCTGACTTGAGGAGACACCGCTTCATTGTTCACTTATGAGATAAAGAGCAATTCTCCCATAGGATAATTGCATCTAAGTCTGAGGACCCCAAAGGTAGATGAAATGGCACCAATACTTTTATACAACAACCCCCCACATCCTGTTTCATCTAGTCATACAATTGAGTAATTTTTCATGCAGAGTTAATTAAAATGAAAAGTCTGGGTAAAGTCTGGGCTGCCTAAAAACTTGTTGGTGAGTCTCTGTATCTATCAAGAACAGAGTCTAAGCCCTTAGCATAATTTTCTGGGCCCTCTGCAGATGTCCTTGATGACCTCTCCACCCTTGAACCCTGCTACTCTCCAGCTCCAACACACAGCAGGACCTTACAGCTGTGTCTCATGGGGGTGCAGTTTCTTGTGCTCTGAGCCTTTCAGATGCTGCTCTCTGTTGGAAATGCCATTGGTCCTTCTGCACATGCCCAGCTCCTTTTCCTTTTTGAACGTTCATGGCCTCTTCTAAAACCTCTCTGGGCTCTTTGCTTGTTCTTCTTAGGTGTGTGATAGGTTTCTGCCTCTATCCTCCTGTGGCTTCCACGTGTCCCTCTAAGGCAGGTGAGTAATGTTCTCACATTTTGGTTTGATGCTGGGTCTTTCTCATGACAGTCTGCATCACATGTTCAGGGGAGGGGGCTGTCTTTCTGTTCTGTACCAGCAGACTGGACTCAGAGTATGGACAAAATACACACATGTTGGCAAGATAAATATTTGAATAAACTTCAGTTTGCTTCATGAGACAATCAAAATGGCATATCAATGGTAGAATGGTCTCTAGCACCCGTAGCTGTGGTTAAAGCAAACTTCCACCTTCCTTCTTCCAAAATTTATATGAATCATGGGAATATCACTCTTGAGTCTCATGTTGCTATGGAAACATGCTTCCTCATCTGTGCTTCTACCTATTATCTCTGCCTGATGCTCCCGTTGCCTCCTGTGGTGGCTCTCAGTACACCCATGGCCTTGGCCTGAAGCTGGGTTTAGTTGATTTTATCAGAATACAATTGCAGAAGGCAGAGGAGAAGAGAAGAGGAGTCGGGCAGGGAGAGAAATGCTTGGCACACTGATTTTCTTCCATGCCAACAGGAAGACTCTCTTTCTTCCTCCGCTCCCTTCCTTTCCTTTCCTTTCTTCTTTTTATAAATCCAGATTTAGGTGAATTAAAGACTTGGGGGAATGACTTCCTTTTCCTTCCCCTGAGTTCTCAGGGGAGATATTGATTGCTAATGCAGAGGTGGAACAAAAAGACCAGAGAATTCTTTGGAAACGCCAACTCTGGAGCAGCTGGAGTTCTCCAAATGCTCAGGAGGCTCATGCCACATGCTTAGTTGTGTTGAAGGCACTAGGGGTGCAACATTGGTAAAGGGGACGGTCCTTGCAATCTGGCAAGTGGAGATAGTCATAGATACTAAACTGACTAACGGACCAATGAGGAGGCAGAGAAGGGTCAGGAGGGAAGCTTAACGCAGCAGGAGGGACAGATCCAGGGAGGCTGCGTTTCCATACTGCATAAAAATGTGGAAGTCCCCTGCTTGGGAGGACACCTGAGCTGAATGGGACAAGGGAGAACATCGTGTGGAAAACTGGGAGCAGTGCGGCATCCAGGGAGCAGGACAGCATGTACAGATGGAGATGGGAGCAGAGTGTTCCCCTGGCGCCTGGCTGAGGTCTAGATGCTGAGCTCCTGAGAGCACAGATCTGCCTGCCTTGCTTCAGTGGTCTGAGAACTCAGCATGGAGGGCGGCCATAGTATTTCACTGGCTTAGCGAATGCAAGAGATTTTGAAAGAACTCAAGAGAAGAAAGACACATCTGTTCTGCTTTCAATAAAATAAAATTGTTCTGTGGAGAAAGTCACGGGGGGAACATGTTCTGCAGACAATGAGGAAGACCCAATAAAAAAAGACTTTGCACATTTTTTCCTGTGATGGAGAATTGTCTTTGAACACAAACTGTGATGTCTTTGGAGTAGACCGAAGGAGGTGTGGTGTGGGAAATGAAATGGCTGAGGCTTTGGGATGTCAACACGGGGTGCTCCTTCAGATAAGGGATCCCTCCTGGGGTTCGCTGGAGAGGTTTTTGTCTCCCTGGGTTGCTGAGGTTGGGGCTTCCCCATTGGAGAACAGGGGGAGCATGGCTGTGACCCAAAAGTACGAGGGAGGGCTGAGACAGGAATCACTCTGCGACACAGCATTTGTCAAACTCAGGATAAAGTTGAGAGTGGGGGGGGGGAGGAGCAAAGAAAGATTTCTTCTTTTATATTTTGGATTCATTTTTAATCCCTTGATATCTCATACCAAGCTGAAATAGTCAAATCTCTGCTATAGATTTATTTCTTTTTTGATTTGATTCTTTCTGCCCCTCCCCCATACTTGATTAAACTACCCCCATGCAGAGGACCCTCCAGCTGAGTGAAGCAGTCCCTGTGGAGTTAAGAGGACTGGCCATCTGGGCTCACTTTACACTCTCTGGCAGAGAATGTTCTTTATCTACCAAATCTCTCTCTTTTCCTTACAAACAACCATGATGTTAAGTGTACAGCGTGTTCCGACACGAGACTACCCTTCTGGTTCTCACTTGGAGGTAAGAATGGCCAATGGCCTGGTCAGTGCAGAGAGGCACAGAGAGGACAACTGTGCCCACACTGGCTCCCCATCTACCAAAGCATGGCTCCCCCCAGACCACCTCTGTTAGGTAGTAGCTAGCAATGAGCATTAAAATGCAGGCAAGGTCACAGGTGTTCTTTAAATTACTTCTGCCAAAGTAAACAAGAAAGCAAAATGTGGCAATTTGTAGAAAAAGAAACAGAAGCAAAAGGAGATGTCAAGAAAAAAGGGTTAATGGGACTAACTCTTAATAGGGTCCATTGATGTTGACATGATGCTAGGAGTAAAAGTATCTCCACTTATCTGGGGAGGAAGACTCCTTTAGTAGCACAGGCACACTAAAGTAACTTCTGATCAGTGATTGACCCCAATGCCCACATTAACATTGGATTGATTTGTAGATGAAACCCCCCCTAAATAGAATGGCCACCATGACAGTTTCGGAGAGGACCAACTAAGGTCAAAAACTCCACCATCCCACGTGAAGGAGGAGTTAAACACCAGATTGGTGAAAGTTGCTGGAGGAGGAGTCCAGTTTTCAAATTAACCATAAAACAATAATGAAATTGGGGACAGTATTGTCTTCTTTGTTGTTTTCTGTTTGGAGACGGCCTACTCTCTCTCTTGAGAGTGCTTTTGGCTTAAGCCTCACTTTCCTTTATTTTCACCTCACTTTTGCTTCTAATAAAGTTCTTCTGCATGAAAAAAAAAAAAAAAAGAATGGCCAATGGCTTTTGGGGATTGTTGAGTTTTCTGGAAAGACTCGTCTAAGAGGCAGCCCTATTTTGGAGTTTGGGTTCTCTATTGGTAATGCTGCCCAGCACATAGACATATTGCAACAGCTATAATGTGACATTCAGATGACATCGAGAATGGGAGTCAAGGACTAAGAATGCTGGAACGGAGGGACAGAAGAGGCTGGAGTGGAGTCCCTGACAACTTGAAACTATTCTGTGGTCTCCAAACCACCCAGCTCCAGATTTGTTTTATGAGAGAAGAAAACAATTTCTCTCTTGCTTAAGTGATTATTACTAGAGAATTCTTTGATATTCAGTTGAACATATTTACAAAAGATCAAGATGTTTTAAGGCATTGCCAAATTGCTCCCATTGCTGTCCCTTTTCTGGTTACAGAGGCTCAGCCGGGGGAACACCTCTGTCATGAGACCTCCACTACCTATTCCTGATTCCTTCCTTCTCCCCCTTTCCTGATGGGTCTCTGAATATCATATCTTCCCTGAGGACTGTGAGCAGGAGACATGGGTCAACTTAGCAATGTGACGACGTAACCCACTGCCCCTCAGGCATCAGCACAGTCCAATGCATGCAGGTGGTGCTCAATACATGCTTACTAAGTAAATTGAAAGTTAGGCCATTGACTTGCCAAATCCCACAGTTGAATACTTAGTGGCCAAAATTGCATGTGTTAGGCATCACATAGAAAGAACTATCTTTTTTCCTGATTGTCCTCAACTTAGCCACTAAGAAAATGGGGCAGCAGGTTTAGTGATTAGGATTGAAAGGGCTAGAAAGGACATTAAAGGTCCAGGATTCAGCTGTCATCATGGATAGACCAAGTTAACTTCTAAATGAGTAAAAGAAAAGAGAAAATGAGAAGGTGCCGCGGGAGGATCAAAGGACCATGTATATCTCTTCAGGGGCAACCTTAGAGGAAAGCCAAAGACCTGGAATAAAAACATGTCAGGGAAAATAACTCCAAATTATTGTCAACATCCCGGTCATCTTAAAATTTAAAAAAAAATAAAAAAAGGAAAGTAAATTAATTGTTGGGTTAAAGAAGGGAAATCAACAATTTAAGAGATTCTGTGAAACATCTAGTTTTAAAAGAAAACAAAGACAAACACAAACCCCGTTACTCTAAGCCCTCCTGGGGAAAAAAAATATCTAAAAACCACTCTTGTCCTGCAAGGAGACTTTGCTGAAAAAGTGGATCATAAGAAAGTCAATGCTTGGGATAGACCAGCGAGCAGCTCTGTGGAGGCGGGACCTAGAGGTTTCTTGGATGGAAGAAACAGCATGTGGTGGTGGGAGTCCCAGGTGCCCCTCACCTGTGGCTGCATTGATGGTTGCTGGGTCGCTCTCCTTGTCCTGCTTCACGGTGGAAACCCATTGCTCATGGAAGGACAACCTGGCTAAGGGGTTGCAAAGCTCAGCCTCAGAAGAGGGCTTTATAAGGCACAGGGGACTCACCGGTGGACGCCGTGGCACGTGCGGGCTTGCTCCTGTGCCTGCCCTTCTCAGCCGTCAGGAGGATGGTGTATTCCTGGCCTGGTTCCAGGCCTCTGAGGACATAGGAGGTGGTGTTTCTTGGAAGCTGGGCCTCTGCCACCTGGCCCGTGGGGAGGCTATAGTTGAGGCGGTAGCGGTCAAACTTGGCTAATGGTGTCCTCCAGACCAGGGTCAGGCTGTTGTCCGTTGTTTCAGAAACCTGAAGGTCCCTGGGTGCATCAATTTCTGGGAGAAAAGCAGAGAGGTGGATACTCATAAGGCTGCAAGGCACAGCTGCTTCTGGCGCTGAAAGTCAACTGGTTTGGGCTAGAATCCTGGGTCAGCCCCAGAAGGACCGCGTGGCTGCAGGATGGTCACCCCTCTGAGTTTCTGGTTTTTAGGTTTGCAAAATGGGTCTGGTTATATGTTACTTTGTGGCTTGTTTGGAAGACTAAAAATAATGTCCTGGCATATCCATTCCACAAAATGTCACTCAGGTAAAAGTGTTTAAAAGGATGGACTACAGATGCTAGAAACAATTTAGATGAATCTTGAAAGCATTATGCTGAAGGAGAAAAGCCAGTGTTAAAGGTGACATACTATTTTGCCATGGACTATACATTTGTGACACCTTCCCCAAAATTCTTATGTTGAAATTTGATCCCCAGTGTGATGGTATTTAGATGTAGGGCCTCTGGGAGGTCTCATGAACAGGATTCATGGCCTTATAAAAAAGACTCCAGAGAGATTCCTTGCTTCTTCTCCCATGGGAGCACACAGTGAAGAGGCCTTTCTATGAGCCAGAGAGGGTTTTCACTGGACACTGAACTTACTGGCAATTTGATCTTTCACTTTTTAGCTTCTAGACTGAGAATTAAGTTTCTTCTGTTTATAAGCCACCTAGTCCAAGGTATTTTTGTCACAGTATCCTGAGCAGACAAATACATACAAGATGTCATTTATGTAGAATTCTTGAAAGGGCAAAATTTTAAAGATGAAGATTAGTGAATGCCGAGGGGTAGGCGGAGGGGGAAGGGACTATGGCCATAAAAGGTAGCATGTGCGATTCTCGGGATGGGACTTTCTGTTGGAGTGACAGGATGGTCCTGAATCTAACTATGATCCTGCCAATTATATTTTGCTTGTGAAGAGGTTGATTGATGTTAAGGGGTTAATAGAAAAATCCCCAGATGTGTTTTAAGTAGGGAATGACATTAAAAAGTAGAATTGGTTATCAACTTATAAAGGTGGATTTCTTATAATGTCTGGTTCTAAATTTTCTTTTAAAAAAATCCCTCCATCCCCTTATTGTATAAAAAGCAGCATCCACATCATTGGTTGGGCATGCAAAGTGTTTGAATGTAAACGCCTGGGCTAGCGGCTGGGGGGCCCTTTCTCCTTGGCGCTTCTACTTCTTTTTAAGTAGGTTTCTGCCTTATCAGCCCTGTCCTGTCTGCTCTGCGCCAGCTCAGAGGTGGTGGGAGTCCCAGGTGCCCCTCACCTGTGGCCGCATTGATGGTTGCTGGATCGCTCTCCTTGTCCTGCTTCACGGCGGAAACTCCAATTCCATATTCAGTTCCCGGCCTCAGACCTGAGAGAGAATGTGAGCATTGAGATTCAACCTAGAATTGGAAAAGCTTCCTGGGATCAAAAAAAAAGAAGATCCTGAACTGGTCCCTGGACATGGATTTCTCAGTGTGATGTGTACAAACGAACTTGTTGAAGTTCAAGGGAGAGGACTTTCTGGGACCTGGGTTTATTTCTCTCTGGAAGGTTGCACATTGGGGACATGCAGGAACAGGTGCCTGTCCTTCTCACCAGTGAGTGTGGTTTTCGTTGTGGTTTGTTGACTCTTGGGAACGTCGACCTCCGCGTGGTCCCCACCAGAGATGGGTGCATACTTAATTCTGTAGTTGTCAATGGCTGCCTTGACATTCCTCCATTCCAAGGTGATGCTGCTGTCAGTCTGGGAGACGCGCCGGAGGTTCCTGGGAGCATCTAGACCTGTGTGGGAGAAGAAGGAGCATGCGCATCGGAACTCCAGGCACCAGGAGAGCAGGGGTCTGACGGTTCAAGCTGAGACAAAAAACACTCCTGCCCCTGGGGAGAAATGACAAAGCTGCCCGCAGTCCCTGGGTCTCGATCATAGCTTACACTCAGGTCTACAGATCTGGCAATTTTTTCCCATTCTTGACACTCATGATATTTCAATAATTCCCATTTTTCTCAGACTTTATTTTTTTGGTACTGGGGATTGAACTCAGGGGCACTCAACCACGGAGCCACATCCCCAGCCCTATTTAGAGATAGGGTCTCACTGAGTTGCTGGTTTTGAACCCATAATCCTCCTGCCTCAAGCCTCCTCAGGCTCTGGGATTACAGGCGTGCGCCATCGCGCCCAGCTTTAGACTTTATTTTTAAAGAACAATTCCAAAATTTACAAATAAGATCACGAGTGTCAGAACTGATTTGTTGAACTTTGTCACTATATTTCTAATAGCTAATACAATGCTGAGCTCTGACAAAATATGTATGAATAAACAGCTGACATTTTGGTACTTTTAAACTAATATAGTAGGAGCCAAGGGGCTTATTTATTGTTCATGTTTTCTATATAATGTATGTTAACTCTAAAATGTTTATTCAAATTTTATTTTAAAATTTGTCTGTGATTAACCAACATCTTCTATGTATACCAAAAAGAAAAAGGAAAAAGAAAGTTTTGGAAATCCCCTCTGTACTTTTCTTAGTGGAAATTGAGTTGAGAGGACACCCCATCATGGATCGGAACAGAAATCTTGCCATCTTTCCTTTCCTTACCCATTACAGAGGAAGGTCTGTTACCTGTGGTGAAGGTCTCTTTGGCCGGGTTGCTGGACATGTCACCCCTGCGGGAGATGAGGGACACCTCGTACTCAGTGTCAGGCTTCAGGTTCCCGATGGAGTACTGATTCTCGTCATGTGTGAGGTCGATGGTGGTGCGGTCACCAGGCACATCTTTGATGCCATAGGAGAGCTCAATGCCATCGATCTCAGCCAGGGGCTTGAACCAGGTGACCAGAGCTGTGGTGTCGGTGACATCTCTCACCTCCATCTGGCTGGGGGCATCCAAGCCTGTGATAGGGAAAGAAGGAGGAGTTTCACAGATCAAGGCCAGTACCAGGGGCTGAGCAGGAGGGGCTTTGCATCCCACCAGATCTGGGGGTGGGCATCTAGGTAGATATGGACCACTTGATTTCATCTGGAGCCTCAGTTTCCTGTCTGATGAGCTATGAGTGGAGATATGCTAGCTGCCTCTAGGGTTTTTTTTTTTTTTTCATTTCATAAAAGGGGATAAAGCTTGGGAAGTTCTGGCACAGAGCCTGGCAGGCGGCAGTCACATGACCAGTGCTCCTTCCTTGGTTGGGATCATCATCCTCATCATCACTCTTCTCAAGAGTTGTGGAAACATGCTTAGGGGATATGTCCTTTGAACAAAAGTGACCTATTTCTCCGATGTTTTTAACAAACTGGGCAAATCTTTCCTGGATGGTAGATGACTTTTAGTTAATATCATGTAGCAGAAGCGTGTGGCAGTGGACTGTCTTCATGGTGCACAGAAAGTTGTTTTTTGATGAAAAGCCACCGCTGTCTCAGCCCTGGACTATCTTTCTATCCTCCTCTTGGCTTCCTGCTGTCCCACCCTTCTCCTGTCCTGCCTAGCTGCTCAGCCTGGCTGCGTCACCTGCCTCTGCATTCTTCTGTGTCTCCTCCCTAAGGTGGCCCTTGCTTATCTAAAACTCTCCTTTTCACCCTTAGAGATCTTACCTACCTGTCGTCTCCTAGCAGGCAGCCTCCCTGGTCCCTCCCAGGGGCTGCTATGCCCTTAGAGATCTTCCCAGTATCACACTTTTCCCCTCGTGTAGTAGCAGATTTCTCTGTTCTTTGAATCAGTTTAGATGGGAATCATTCAATCACGTATTCATTCATCCAGGAATGAGTCTTTGGCTATTCTGAGTCCCCAGTGTAGAGACAGGCACATGCCAAGCATTCAGTAAATGTTCTCCGCCCCCTGTGCCTTCTTTATAAAAATTGTTCAGTCTGTGTTTTCAGTATTGGTTGATTAAAAAATATCAAATAGAAGGCGTGAGCCTTCTGCAAGGAGTGAGGAGGAGGAACGATTCATAGCTGCCCATGAGGATAGTTCAGAATGGTTTTGAAGACCAAGTGTTGATGCATCCGTCTCACTCTGCAGGTGATGAGCCCGCAGGATGCACAGTGACTGTGACACTGCAAATTGACAGTGATGCTGCCTGTCCTAAGTTCTTAGAGCTGCTAGCAAGCACCCAGGCCATACATGCCACCTCCCTTAGCTCTCCTTTTATCAGAGCTTGGGTGCAGTCAAGGACACTGATATCCCCCCCTACATTTGGATTGCTTCCTCGTAGAAACTAACATTGCTCTGTGCCAATCGCGTTCCAAGCATGGGACTTTGTAATGTGTACCTGAATTCTCAGGATGACCTCACAAGGAGGACACTGAAAACCCATTTTCTAAATGTTGGATCTAAAGCTTAAAGAAATGGATTTTGTCCAAAAGGTGGTGAATGTGAAGATAAAATTTAAATCTAAGGCCACGTCTTTCGCCCTTTCTGTGACACTGTTAAAAGATATTCACATATCAATAGCAATAATACAACCTCCATCTAAGTGCCAGAGAGAAGGAACCAACCACATTTTGCACTGAAAGTTTAAGGTCCTTCAAATCTGGAAAAACTTCAGGTATATCAGCGTAATGAACAGGTAAATATCTGACCTTCGATGTTGATATGTACTTTATTATGGAACTCCAGATGTTGGGTGTTTGTTCTTCAATAAGAAGAAAATAAAGCAGTGATCCTCAAATTTAGATTAAAAAGAAAAGGACTGGTGAAAGAAATGTCTTTTGGACTTTCAGGGTGTTTTCTCTACAGTGAATAAGCACATTTGTTTGATCTTTTCTGTGCTGTTCTGGTGATCTAATGATTTCTTCCTGTTGGTACCTGCCTCCTACCTACCGCAGAGAGATGTTGTCAGGATGATGGAACACACTTGCTTATGAGGGAGACGATCCTAGGAACTGGCTCTGAGCTCAGCAAAATGTGCAAACATTTAAATGCAAGATGTTCTTTCTTGTCATTAGTCAACAGTTTAACTTTTCCAACAACCCCCTGCCAAGAAGAGTCAATTCCTAAGAGTTGGCACATATGCTATCTTGAAAAAAGTAAGAGCTTTTCCTAAATGGCAATGCAAAATTATTTTCTTCTTTTTTAAAAATTTGCTTCCTGGTAGAGCAACTTCAAATTCAGATTATTGTTATTTTTTTTCCCCCCACCAAATGATCTATTAGTGATCCAAATCCTATTCTACTCCAAGAAGTTCTGACAACATTAGGATTGAGTGAAATTTGACTTAGGTTTCAACATTCTGCTCAAAACAGAGGCTATTAAATGGTAATGGGTTTAGAGTTCTAAAACAAACCCTGGATTAAAGTTGTGGCTCTGATGGTATTAAGTATTAGTTAAAGTGATTCAGCTTCTCCAAGCCTTAGTTTCTACTCTTGAAATAAATAGCATGAATATCTGCCCTATCTCTGTTATGGGACTGGGTGATAGTATTAACTTAGATAATGTGGCAGTGGTTTTCCTTGTCCTCAATTATTTATCTTCCTGCTCCTTTGCAATGTGACAGTGAAGCTCCTCTCATTAAGAAATTTTAAATTTTTTAAGTTTTCCTACCCCTTAAGTTCCATGGCTTTGAGATGGGCTCTGACACAAATTATGTGTTTCTAGCCCCGGGTAAGCAACCAAAGGTTAAGCCCACATGGAGCAGAAAGTCACCATCCTGGGTGAAGCCATTCTGGGCAATCAGTCCCAGATTACACAAGTATATGAATGAGCCCAGTCCAGGGCAGCTCAATGAGCCCGACCCCTCAGCTGAGGGGTCACACACCTGCACACATGTGCCTTTTGTTAATCGGCAAAAGCTAAGTGATACAGATGTAGGAGGTACTTTATCAACAAGAAGGTTCCACAAGGCACAGTCAGCTGTTCATGGGTCACAGGTGATACTCACGGGTGGTGGTCACTCTCTTCAAGCCAGGGCCCCGGGTGTTGTTTTTCACGATGTGCAGTGAGATCTCATATTCTTGCCCAGGAGCTAGACCAGTTTGCCGGTAGGAGGTCTCCGGCCTCCTCAGGCTTTTGGTAATTTCTCCCTCATCTTCTTTATTCTGAAAGAGAGGAACCCCTTGATAAGACTTAAAGGAGGTGCCGACATCTCCACTTATGAGAGTCTTTCGCTGTATCTTTCGTTCCTCTTTGGCTCTTTCCTCTACTCGTTAGGCTCCCCTATCTACATAGGCAGCAGATCCATATACGGAGGATACAGGGATGAGAAAGGATGTCTCCAGTTCATTTCTTCTGCTTGTCAATCTCCCTAAATCACCTGTTGACATGTAAGTCAAAGGACAGAATGGGCGAGGCAAAGGGATTCTAAAGCCACAAACAATGCCACCTTTGACAGATGGAAAGGCTGGCATCAGAGAAATTGTGTGATTGCCCCATGGTTACACGGCTAGCTGGTAGCAGAGTCTGGGGTGAAATTGAGAAACAGGATTCCCTGCCACCCCAGTGCCTTTGGTGTGTAATCTGAGATATGCCTGGGGATGTTGCATGGAAGAGCCTGGTTCTTCTTTTCTTTGGCTCTGAGTTGAGATTTTCAAGAAGGAAACTAGAAATACTTTCACTTGAATTTGTCTAGGCTTTTAGCCTTAACTACTATACTTTTGACTTATTAAAATCAGGGCAAAACTAACATCACTTAAAATACACATGCTAACACACCAAGTGCTAATTGGAGCCTGGTATTCTACCCAAAGCTAAGGAAATCAAGAGATGTAAAACTGCAGAATCCTTCAATCATTCCAGAACCTTGAGGTCAAATAGACCTGCTCCCTTGTGTCCCTTACCATATTCCTGAAGATGATCTCCCATGTTTCGAAAGCAATGTCTAGAGGGTCCCACTCCACTTCCACAGATGTCTCCTTGATGGACTTGAATTTCAGGCCCTCAGGTGCAGGCAGGTCTGTAAGGAACAGCACAAAAACAGACGTAAGGATGGGCAGAGGTGAGATAGGGGCCTCTCAACCCGTGATGGCTGCCCATCGCCCGGGGCTGATAACCACAGCTGGAGTCTGTTTAAAGTGTCTTCTAGGATGTGGTCTACTGTATGGTAGTATGAAAATCAATATTGCAGCTAATCATAGGATGAAATATTTGCAATTTCATAGGGTTAAACCTAATAAAGGACAGAATTTGGAGTTAGATAGAATGTGCCAGAATCTCAGCTCCACCACTAACACAGTGACCTTGGGCAAGATGCACAAAATGCTCTGTGACTGTTTCCTTTCCTGTGAGAAGGAGGTACATATGACTGTCCTTAGGAATCCTTGAGAACTGAGCTGGATATTCCATGCAGACTGCCCGGCCCGCTTCTTGGCATGCAGCCCAAGTTCATTAAGTGGCAGCCAGTGCCATTATTACTGAGCAAGACAAGGCAAACTTCTAGCCACAGCTTGCTTTTCAGGTACGAAGGTAATTATGCTGATGCCAGACTCTTAAAGGAACAACTTGAACCCTAACATTTACACACACACACACACACACACACACACACAAGAAAACAGTGGCTAAGAACATAAATTTGTGAGGACTGCCAGGGTCCAAAGGCCATCTCTTCCACTTGTCAACTGTGGGATCTGGGATGAGGTCCTTAACCATGCTTAACCACTCAGTCTCAGTTTCCTCATCTGTACACAGGGTTAACAACAGCTCCTGTCTCATGGGCTGGATGAGTTAGTACAAAGTCTGATGCCTGGTGAACACTTGATACATGGTGCCTGCTATGGAGAAAGGACCTGGGGAGAGCCAGGAGGGAGACGGGTAGGAAATGGAGTTGACAACAGAAGATAATGGACTCAACTGGATTCCAGGCTTACTTGGGATAACTACAAAAGGAGAAAGGGGGGCTGAGGGGGCAAAGTGAGGGTAGTTCATGGGGAAGGCCCTGCACTTTGTGTGGGGAGAGGCTGGGGGGACTGTCCAGAGGGGCTTTGCTCACTCACAGGTGGCCACCCTGGCGCTGACGGGAATGCTCCTTTTGTTTTCCAGGATGGCGAACACGCGGATAAAGTACTCCACACCAGGCTCCAGCTCCTGGATGGTGGTGGATGTCTGGTCCCCGGGCACGCGGAACTGCATCTCCAGGCCGTCGGCGTGGGTGGGTGTGTACATGATGAGGTACTCTGTGACCCGCATCTCATTGTCCCAGGCCAGGTTGACAGTCTCTTCCGTGACTTCCGTCACAATGAGGTCTTTGGGAGGGGACACTGGCAGGAGTGAGGAAGGACATCTGGGGTGAGTAATGTACCTATGAAATCCTTTTACGTTTGCTTCCATGGGCCACTGCCTCCTCCACTGTAATCCACAGAGGCCCGAGGCTCTCCCCTTGAAATTCAGCTTCCACCCTCTCTAAAGTGCAGAAGGACCCCCTGTTGGGACCCATCTCTGAAATCCAGTAGTCCTCTACTCAGTTCCAGGTCAGTGGTGTGGCCTTCAATGCTCCTTATGACCTGCCCCTGTCTACTTCTCCACTCCCTGAATCCTAGCTCAGATTCGGGCTGTGGGCCTGGGAAAGGGCCACCTGAGCTTGCTCAAGTGTGCTAACCCTATCAGGTCTGAGGCTCACATGGCCTCCCTACTGGCCTGTATCCTTACCCACCAGACTGTCATACTTTGGCCATGTTAAACATGGAGCCCTTTATTCCTAGATGCCAAGAGCAGAGATTCTATCATGACAATTACAATACAGGTAAATGAGAGAGGTACAAAGATCTCATTAAACATGAGCATTATTAGTCTTTGCATATGATTCCACCAGTGTTTCCTGAGCAGTTACTATGTACCATTCCCTGTGCTAATTTCTGAGAACAGGGCTCCATTAAGGAGCTCACAGCCCTTAAGATAAAAGCAGTTAAAAAAATAAAAGAAATTTAAGTGGCAGGCCTACCTTATAGGTGATCAGCAGTGAATCTAGCTGAATGTACATTTAAAACCATTCATTCTATGTAATCTTACTGTCTACTCAATGTTGCTGAATTATCACTTCATCCAAATTTGGGGGGGGGGGGGTTGTTTGCTGTCAGCTCAAAGTCAGTGGAAAGTAGAAAAGAAGGTCAATGCTTAGCGAAAGGAAAGACATCTCTATCTCTCTATCTACCTCAGCTTGGCAATAGATGTTCAACTCAGTGTACATGAGTTAGGCAGACCCAAACACCAGCTGTGTGTGTGTGTGTGTGTGTGTGTGTGTGATTGGGAAAATTACATAACCTCTCTGAGCCTTTGCGTTTTCAGCCAGGTAACCCTGTACCAAGGGAATCACCATAGTCTTCAATGTCCAGAGCCCACACACGAGTGTTTGATATAAATATATTAATATCACATATAAATAGAATCTGGGTGTGTTGATACAAATAGTCCTCCAGTGCACACCAGGAACATCACAGCCATTATCACTCTTGCTGGCACAGGTACTCACCTTCTGAGCAGTCTTCCCCGGTGTAGCCCTCGATGCAGATGCAGTGCCCAGAGACACACTGTCCCCGTTCGCTGCAGTCATTGGGGCAGGATCGCTGTCCACAGTCGGGGCCTGTGAAGCCCTGGTGACAAATGCACTGGCCGTCCTCGCAGCGGCCCTGGCCGTGGCAGTCGCTCGGACACCTTAGCTCCTTGCAGTCTTTACCTGTGAAGCCCTCGTGGCACACGCACTGCCCGTTCACGCAGCGGCCTTGGCCGTGGCAGTCACTGGGGCAGGAGAGCTCAGCACAGTCGGGGCCCGTGAAGCCCTCCTCGCACAGGCACTTCCCTTCCACACAGCGGCCGCGGTTGCTGCAGTCCCGGGGGCAGCGAAGGTCCCGGCAGTCTTCCCCGGTGTATCCGTCGTCACAGACGCACATGCCATTCACACAGCGGCCATGCTGGTGGCAGTCATTGGGGCAGCTCATTTCACTGCAGTCGTACCCCTTGAAGCCCTGCTCGCACACGCACTTGCCCTGGACGCAGCGTCCCCGGCCGTGACAGTCGCTGGGGCACCGCTGCTGGCTGCAATCCTCCGCGGTGTAGCCCTCGTCACACACGCACTGGCCATTGACGCAGCGGCCATGGCCGCTACAGCCATTGGGACATTTGAGTTCCCCGCAGTCTGGGCCCGTGAATCCGTCGTCGCACTCGCACTGGCCATTGAGGCAGCGGCCGCGGTGGTGACAGTCCGCGGGACACCGCTTCTCGCTGCAGTCCGCGCCCGCGAAGCCCTCATCACACACGCACTGCCCCTCCTCGCACTGGCCGCGGCCCTGGCAGGCGTTGGGGCAGGTGAGTTGGCCACAGTCCTCGCCCGTGAAGCCTTCTTCGCAGTAGCAGGTGCCATTGATGCAGCGACCGCGGTCAAAGCAGTCGTTGGGACAGACGAGCTCGCTGCAGTCGTCGCCCGTGAAGCCCTCGTCGCACACGCACTCGTTCTCCACGCAGCGCCCGCGGTTGTAACAGTTGTTGAGACACAGAGGCTCGTTGCAGTCTTCGCCAGCAAAGCCATCCTGGCACACGCACCGGCCGTCCACACATGTCCCGTGCTCCTCGCTGCAGGGCACCGGGCAGACCTCCTGGCTGCAGTCGGCCCCGGCGTAGCCTTCGAAGCAGACGCAGACCCCGTTCACGCACCTGCCCTGGTCATTGCAATCGCTGGGACAGGCCAGCTGGCTGCAGTCCTCACCAGTGAAGCCCTCATCGCAGTTGCACTGTCCGTCGAGGCACTGGCCTCGAAGGTTACAGTTGCCAGGGCATTCAGGCTCGGAGCAGTTGGGGCCTTTCCATCCAGGTTCGCAGATGCAGCCACACCCTTCAGTGCTGAAATTGCCATGACCGCTGCAGAAGGGCTTTGTGTCCAGGCGGCCTGCAATGAAGAGAACAAAGGCTCTCAGAGGTGCCCAAGCAGCAGTATCTGCTGGTACCCTTAAAACCCAGATGCAAATTCAGCCTGAGGATGGTTCAGGCTCCATCTGGTTTGAAAACCAGCTGCTTATTGCGTAACACCAGACTGGACTCATATCCAGTTACAGAAGCAGGGATTCCCAACTTCCACAGCCTGAAATTGTAGACTTGTAGGCAAGGGTAATGCATGCATGTGTGTAAGTGTGTGTATTTCTACCCCTGGGGAAAGGATCAGTAATTTTCATCACATTTGCAAGGAGTCCCGGGACTCCAGACAGTGTGAGTCACTGTCTTGTGCTGTTCATTACCTAGGGCTGCTTCCCTGGTGCTGGGACAAGGTCAGGCATACAGGAAACCTGAGAAATTCTTGTTGGACTGAACTTCACTCTGACTTTGAACTCAATAGCTGTGCCATGCTTGGGAAGGGATTTGGATTCTCTGGAGCTCAGTGTCCTTGTAGGCCCAGTGGGACTGATGTCTTCTGGGGACACACAAGGGTCAGATGAGGACATTAAGAGCTTACTTCTATGCTCATTGTGATTTTTTTTCTGTTTGCTTTTCCGGAACTATTTTGGGGTCAATTCAAATTGGTATATGTGGGCTTATGTGACAAAAACTTTCGAATTTTCCAAAACTGAAATGAGGCAGCTAAGTAGTGGCTTTCTAATTCTGTCAGGACACTTTTTAATTTGGCCTGTCCCCAGAAAACGCCTGTGCCTCTGTCTTTTCCCCATTACGCTCCCTGGTAGGCTACGGTGGTGGGCGGGCCTGAGGGATGCAGCTTCCGGGCTGACAGCCCTTTGCAACTAGATACTGGTTGGTGCAATGTGAGGAGCCACTGGGCTTATCCCAAGTGAAGAAGCAGAGCTCACTTTCCTAGTTTTTGCATCTAGATCTAGTTGTATTATTATATGTTCACTCCTTCCTGATAGCAGGAAGGAAGAAATTTTTTTTTAATGTTGGTTTGAAAAATGAGAATGTAATGTGTGTTTTCCCATATAGTGGCCACTGTCCATGTGGCTACCAAGCACCAAAAATTGTGGCTCAGCTGAATTGAGATGCATTTAAGCAGAAAACATACACCGAACTTCAAAGATTTAACATAAAAGAATAAAATATCCAATATTAATTTTTATCTTGTTCCTGGGGTGAAAAATGGTTATTTTGGCTACATAGATTTAAGTAAAATAAATGATCGAAATTATTTTTACCTGTTTCTTTTTCTTTTATTTGACTACTGGGGAATTTAAGATTATAAGTGTTGATTGGCCAGCCCTCCTGTAAACAATTGTGTCAATTGTGTCATTAATCTTACCCTGTACTCTCTCACCTGTATTTTTCCAGAAAATTGACACATGTGGAAGATAAAGTAACTTATGCCCAATGAAAACTTCTAAAAATTCTCCTTTAGATTCCTAGAACATGTCCTACAACACTCCTCAGTTAATGCTACCAAGTGGTTATTTAGTGGTTAGGTTTATTCTTAAACAACTAATAACTTAAATAACTACTCTTAAATAACTATTGAAGAACTTTATGGTACTGTTTTTTTTTTTTCCGGGTGGCAGAAATGAGATTTTTGCTTCTGATTTGAGGTTATCAAATCTTCTGTAGCCCTTCTGATGATAGGGGATGAAAATGAAGACATAATTCCAAACCAGACAAATTGGGATGCACGTGAAGACAGATGCAACAGGCGAGCATGGGCTCTGGAGAAGCAGGCGTATCCAAGGCGCCTGCCCCTCATCACTCTCTGTCATCCTGTGGCATTTGGGTAACTTCTTTGAACTTTAATCCTTAGGTCTGCAGAAGGAATGTTAAGCCTTATCTTAAAGGGGGAATTGAGGAGCTCAAACAAGATAATAAAGTCAGTGTCTGGTGCCCTGGGGGGGACTTCCGACATGATTGTGACTATCAAGACATGAATGTCCAGTTCCCACAGACTGAGTCCTGCGAGGGCAGCACTGGACCTTGGAGGCACACTTAGATGTGCACTAGTGCTCTTAAGACCTAACTCAGCTCCTCAGTGCAGGACCTTGAGAATCCCATCCACCTCCCCGGCCTTGGTTTACCTCTTTGTATAATGCAGTGAAGGGGCTAGAGCCTTCCAAAGAGTGTGCCCTGTGGGGCAGGGATTTCATGATCGTTGGTTTTTGGGTAAAGACTGGGTAGATTTCACAGCCAAAGTTTTCGAAGCATATACTTAGAGTGAAATAAGGTTTTCAAAAGGAGAATTCTTTGCAGCCTGACAATTCCCGTGAGAAACATTTGCAACCCTGACTCCTTCAGGAGCAGGGGAGAGGGCCACATTCTCCACATTTTTTTTTTAAATCTTAAAATCTTTAATGAGCACCTTGACAGAGTAGTTTCCCAGGGAACCCACTTTGGAAACAAGGAATGGGTCTTGCTATGCTCATCATTTTTCCCATCTTAAAGCGATGGGGACACGTACCTTCAGCAGATTGGAGACAGCAGCCAGCTCCCATGGTGCATTGCTCCCGCAAGGAGGACACTAGGACCTCCAGCTCCTCCAGCCGGTTCAACAGCTCCTTCACATCAGGGGCTGCAGCACAGCCGCAGGCGCGGCGGGGGATGTTGATGCGGTGTGTGAAGACGATCTGATTTTCCCCATCCACGGTGTGCTCCTGGAAGCTTCCACTGGGCTCAGAGGGTGGGGCCAGGTCTTTCTCCCCACTGGCTGATTCCAGATCCACCGAGCACTGGGACCCCACGGGCAGCTTGATGTTGTAGACATGGTTAAACACCACTGGCTGGTTCTCCTCCGGCAGGGAGATGTTCACAGCACTCTGTCTCTTGTGCCGAATGACTTTCTTTAGGACTCCACCTTCAGAAGGGAGGGCAAGCAAAGCCAGGAAGATGCCCGGCAATAATCCGGTCAGGACCCCCATGGCGGAGGGAGGCTTGGCCAAGGCTCTAGGATGTCAGTCTCAGCCTATTGAGATTTGGGATTTAGGAATGCAGAGTAGAATCCAAAATGGTTGTCCCTGATCTCCTGGAAAGAATGACTTTCTACAAGTAAACAAAAGAAACAAACTTATTAATATCTAACGGAACCTATTGCATATGTACAATTTTGAGTGAATCTTGGTCTTATACCTCGGGTGCTTGGGGCTTCCTGTGTTTCTTCATTATACTATAGTGATGATTATAAAATGAACTCTAAAAGAATTTCTGCATTCTTGAAGGCACAATTTCACTCACTATTCGATGGCTAGAAATTTAAGGAGAGAGCCATATATAGAGGAAAGTGCCAAACATTGGAATGAAGTCAACATGAGTTTGTATCTCACCTAGCTCTGGGTCCTTGGGCAAGTTATATGACTTTTTTCCCACCTTATTTCATTTTATGTACAGTGAAGACCATAATGGCTAATACAGAGTTTAAAAGGATGTAAGTATTAAATAGAAATCGCTCATGTAGTCATTAATTCCTTCAGTATTTACTGGCCAAACCATCTGAGGGAATTCTTATAGGAATACAAAGGCCACAGTCTCCCAGGAAATGTGCTGTGACTCCTGCCTCCTATTACCGACTCCCCAAACAGAGTTTAACACTATCCACTGGTTCTCTTCTGCCACTCGAGGTGGAGGACAAGGTTGAAGACACCAGAAGGTAAACTGAGTTTTTATCCAGTTGAGCTTCTTTCTAGTTATGTGGTGGTGGCATAGCATTCTCTCTCTCGCTGATGCTCAGTTTCCTTTCTTGGTTTATATCTAAAGCCCTCCAAAGTCTAGTTTTTAGATGAGCTTGAGAAGGAATTCCTGAAACTGTTATTTAAACTGAGATCCACAACACCAGATGGCTCAGAAAGGGTGTCCATGAGCCTCTGGTGATTTCTCCAACCCACAAGTACATACAGAATGCCTGCTGAGTTTCCCCAGAATCAGAGTTCTGTGGGTGGTAGAAATAAATATAAGACCAACTGTCTACTCTTAGCGGACTAAATAATAGGACTAAGAAGAAAATGGAATCACCATTATTTAGGGAACAAAGAAAGGATACAAAGGATTTATACTGTGGGTTTTCAATCTAACTGATTACAGTGCTTGAGAAATTATGGATAACATGAAATTAAGGGATAACATGAAAACATTATGGAGGACACTTTGCTACTGTGAACATTTGTGACTTTCCTAAGTTTTCTTATTCATCTGCCATGTGGCTATTGACCCATATGGGCAATCAGGTAATAGTGGAAAGGCACTTGAGAAACTGAGTGGAAATAGGAAGATGTGGCTAAATTGGGTAGTTTTAATACAGACCAATGCCTTAGATGCAACCATGAATCCACTCATGACCCTCTTTAATCAGAAAGTACACCTGAGTCAAGATTATTGAAGAGCTTTTTTTTTTTATAATGCTGGAATTGGTACCCAAACACTTGTGTGTGCTATGCAAGTGTTCTACTGGTGGGCTACAACTCCAGTGCTAGCTCTTTGTTTTTTAAACTATTTTAAAAACTGACATTTTCTTATAGGTATGGTCTTCTTACACTTGCAAATTCTAAGTTAGCTACTGATGACAATAAGCTATGATATTGGGGTTACTAATCCTATAAGAAGTTTTCTACTCTTTTTCTCAGAAAGATCTTATCACAATGATAGAATGTATCAACTTGATCACAAATGATTATCTTCTTCATAGGACAGAAAATATTTCCAATGCCTGGAGAGGTTTGGCAGCAAGGAACACTGAACTGAGCGGCATTTTTATAGGATTGGGAAGGGATCCAAAGACCTCAAAAGCATCACTGTGCATTTAACCAAGAGCATCCTACCCCCACCCCCACCGCATCCTAATTTTATTCCTATGATTCAAGTAGTGACTACTCAGGGCATGTCTACTCCATGGTTAGGAACAAAACCACTTCTGATCATGCTTTCTTATTCAAAAATGTTCCCTAAATAACTAGCTGTGGGTGGGTGATGTAGGGAAGGTCAGTAATGAAGATTATCCTGAATAGAAGAGCATGGTACTCTGTTCTCTCAAACTATTATGTCCCTGTTATTTGTTCTCTGATGAATATTGATTAACTGCATGATCTGGTAGAATGCCTGTTCTGACTCGATTTGCCTTCACAATTCTTTTGCTCCCACCCTTTTCTCAGGATTTCTTAGCTCTTTCTTTTTTTTCTCCTTGGAGGAAGGGCTGCAGGCCTCACCTGAAATGCTTTTGATTTCACTTAACACCTTTGTCTGTGTTGTTAAACAACCTAGATTTCCATCTAAAACACCCCTAGGGTTGTTGGTTGAGACTCCAAGGCAATGAGTTAGGGAAATTATGCTCAGAGAGTGGGTAGGGTGAAGATTTCTACTGCGTATGTGTGATGTGCACTAACACTGTATGGTATTCTTTCTTTATCTGATGCTTGGGATTGAACCCAGAGGTGCTTTATCACTAAGCCACATTCCCCAGCTCTTTTAATTTTTTGAGACAGGAACTCATTAAATTGCTCAGGGTCTCTCTAAGTAGCTGAGGCTAGCCTCAAACTTGTGATCATTGTGCTTCAGCCTCCTGAGTTGCTGGCATTAGAGATGTGAGCCACCGTGCCCAGCACAGGGCATGTTATTCTTAAGTGTTGGGTGTCTCCCATTGGCTCATGGTAGTCTGAGGGTAGGTTTTATGATTGGGAAAAGATCCATAACATCTTTATAGTTGTGGAATATGCTTAAGCTTTAGAATCAGACATACCTGGGTTCAAATGCCACTCCTGGTGTGTAGTTTGGGCAAGCTACCTACCTTCTGAGGTGTCAAACCATGATGAGGGTATTAAGGACATTAAGGATTAGGGATATGTACATAGAGCACTCAGCATGGTGTGGCTCAGAGTAGGCACTCACTAAACAGTAGCTGCTATTTTGTTATCCTCCTGGGAACAAAACCTAGCAGAAGTCCACACCAATAACCCTTCTTTTGCTTAAACTGGAGCTTGACCTCCTCCTTGAATCCAGTCCTAAACTCAGCAGTAGCTTGGATCTAGATCAAAGAAGCTGCAGAAATCACTGATGAGCAAGGCGGTCGACCTTGTGAAGATCAATTTACTAGAACTAAAAATATTTATTCCAGAGAGGGAAAATCTAGGCAGCAAATAATGACCGTTAAGAATACAAACTATTCTCATGTAGACAACTGGCTGGTTTATGTTATATTTTATTTTATTTTATCTTATTTTTTTGAGGACAGACCTCGGAAAAATTACTTAAGACTGTAGCTTGGGAGATTTAAATCAGACATGAAGGATCAAGTTCTGATAGTAGGGCTTTCATAACGTCATAATGAGCAAATGTTCTACAGAGGCTCCTTAAAAGACACACTGGATTCTTATCTTTATGGCAAATGACTGGTAATGAAAGGTCTGGGAAACATCTTGTAGGAGGAAGAACTACAGACCTGTGCTTGTTTACTTTGTAGCTGGGAAAACCAGGACCCAGGTGGGGGCAGGGTCACCATTACAAATTCTAGAGAAGTAGGAGCTGGCTTGTCTCTGTGTCCCCAAAAGACAGAACAAGTGCAAATGTGGGGGTCTAAATTGGGGGTTGGTTGCAAGTAGTAAAAAAAAAAATTAGCATACTAGGAGAAAGATTCTGCTGGGCAAGCTGTTTGTTGGCTAACCTTTTGGAAGCTGCACGGAATAAACTAAGGGTTATTTTTAGGCACCTCACCACAGGACAAAGACCATTGCTAGAGGAAGGAATCAACAAGCTTTGAAAATTTCCTTGGTCACAGCTGGAGAATAAACAATAAGCGATTTCATTCTCGATAAAGATAAAACTTCCCACTGGCTAGAGTCATTTTTCAGAATCAGTTCCTTATGACTTCATTTTTCGTAGCCTGTGCAACATATTTATCTGAGTGAGTTAGGTATGCATGTGAAATATCCTAGGTTTGGAAGGACAAGCCTGATTCCTAGTGTTTAAAAATGCAGATGATTTTGTTTCCACATCATTTTGGAAGCACACGAGGCAGCTTACACCAACTTTTTCTTCTGGCTTACAGACCAGAGAATTTTATTGTGCCCAGTCATTCAAGCATAGAGTTGCTTACATGGACGTTCTTAAATGTTCTAGAAATTCCTCACCCCTTGTCCTCCCCAACACCCATAAATTCCTTCTTGGAATGTGTCAGGGAGAGAAAGAAGCCAGGAAACAGCTTTAAGTTGGATTTTTTTTTCCTGAGGACATTTGATCTCTTCAGTTCAATGAGTCCAGCACAACCTGAGTCATAAACTAATTGAGAAATCTCTAAATGACAAACCAAAGACCTCCTGAGCCCCAGGTGTTTGAATTCCAGCACTGAGAAGCAGTTATCCACTTAGGTAAGTAGAATGGTGCAGGGTTACCAGGTCTCGATTCTAAGGAAGTTGGAGTTTGCTTGACTCTGTGGCCCCAAAGGATACAAGAGGCACAGTGAAGCCAGTTGTCATCCAAAGTCCTAAGAATTCATTTTTTAAAATGAATTCAACAGAGATGAGGGGAATGAATGAAATAACAGGCTATGGGACAGCCCAGGGCTGGTGCAGTGTTTCAGAGATTCATGATGGACAGGTCTTGCTCTCCATGAGTTCACAGTCCACTAAAGGAGGCAGACATGTCAACAGATCCCTACTAGAAAGAGTGATAAGTGCCAAATCTGACAAACAGCCAAGAAGAGACTGTGTGATGCTTGAGAATATCTGCTCTAGAATCAGGTGAATACTGGTGGATCTTGTTTCTGCCACTTGATATTAGTTTGCACCATATGAAGTTGCCATTGTTTTAGGTCAAAAGTGTCTGGGTAGTGGCAACTCCATATGATTCCAGCTAGTAACTATGACCTTGGATTTGGAACCTTGCCTCCCGGAGCCTCAATTTTCCTAACTATAAAATGGCAACACTGATACCAATTCCACAATAAGGTTCTTTCAACTGCAATGGAGGAGAAACTTGAATAAATGAGATATTGGGTGTGCAACACTTAGTAGCTAAAACTTAAAAAGAAGGCAGTTTTGGTAACTACTGTG